GAACGCCACGGTCTACTACAAAAAAAAGGGGAAGCAAAGCTTTACATCCTTTCTGGCTTTTAAGGATGGCTTTAATAAGATCTTCAGAATCCAAACTGAAACCAAGAAACACTCATCAGTTGTAGGTCAGATAATTAGCATTTCCCTGTTGTTATGCATGTGCCTCTTACAGCAGTTTCAGATAGAAGGTCATAGGAGCATCAAGGTACCATTCTATGCCAGGGGGGCCAGATTCTGCCCGGCTTTTACTAATCACAATCCACAGAAGACAGAGAGAACAAACAGAAAACCTAAGCAATCAGAATGCATTTAACATGAAATGCCACACGTTTTTGCAGGAAGCTCAAACCTCCCTGCTGATCAAGGGGAAGGCGACTACCTGACGCTAACATGTCTGAAACCAGTATTCCTTCTTATCACTTTTAGCAGAAGAGGAAACGAAGGCACCAAGCACTGTTCAGGTAACTCCTGCCAGTGATTCTGAACCCAGCAAAGACAAACAGAAGGCAGATGCACCGCAAGATGGACAGGTATTTAAATAAGCATCATAGGCAATAAGCACTCAGTCCAGACCAAACTTCACATGTACTTTCCTTCTTCCCTCTCTAGAACTTTTGGGGTAAGACCCAACCCATTTCCCATAACTGGCAACAATAAATAGACTGTGTGTGTAGTGATGAGATATATTAAGGCATTAGCTGAAACATTTTGGCTTACAAACATGAATCAGGTCCAAAATATGACAGCAACTGATACTGTATAGTATTTTCTCTTCAGATGGCTCTTCTGAGGTCAGAGGGGTACTCCCACATAAGGGAAGATATGAGTATCTGCCTGTCCTGTGTTCATCAGTACGTGTTTCTGGTTTGTTTCCCTAATCCCTCCTTTCAATTGATGTAATTTGGCTGTTCTGATGAGGAAAGGTTTTTGAAGAGACAGTGTTTAATTTGTGTCAAAACCCCATCTAAAAGTTGATTCTAGTTAATGCGTACAAGTTAATTAACATAATACACAGGCACTGAGATAGGGTACGCCTGGATTTTGTCCCACAATAGCAAGATAGGGGCTGTGTCTGCATTCAGCCATGTTACAAGTTTGACCTCTGCCAAGGCGAGGCCCTGGTGAATAAATGCTGTGCAGTTCCTTGTTAGTGTGAAAACATATTGGCTATTTTTCTTTTTTCTGATCTACAGCCCCCTTCAGGCAGCGATACCTCCGAAGACAGCAGCTCTGAGAGTGAGGAAGACAGTGATGATGACAGCACAGATGATGAAAACGATGAGCCATTATCTCTTGAATGGCCAGAAACTAGGAAAAAACAAGCAATTTACCTTTTCCTCTTTCCCATTGTCTTCCCTCTCTGGAGCACTATGCCTGACGTTAGAAACCCAGTAAGAATCTATCTTCCTTCTGCTACTGGATTCATTAACTGAACTATAGCTTTCCTCTCAGCTAGAGTCCCCAGTTCTATTTTTCCATGTCTAGAGACTTTGCATACTTAAAGTGCTATTAATGCTGCAGGGAGTGGGACAGGAGCCCCAGCTGCAGCATAGCATAGTTCCAGAGACTTAATTTAATAAACTACAGAAGTAATGAAGCTGACAAAAACCAAATACAATTAGAGAGATGAGGGTCCATGTTAAAGCAATTGATTGCAGTAAAGTGTTTCAGGTAAATAATTTTCATTGGGGATTGTTAACTTTCCTGAAACTTCTCCATGTTTTTCTTTTCAAACTTGGTTTTAACAGGACTCCAAAAAATTCTTTGTCATCACGTTTTTCGGATCCATCGCCTGGATTGCTGTATTCTCTTACCTCATGGTGTGGTGGGCTCACCAGGTGAGGGGTTTATTTTCTCTCTGCAAACAAGACCACTTCAGAACAAGTAGATAGAGAGAGGGAACAGTGTCACTGTGACATTTTGTCTGATGAATTACAGCTGCGGTCATCCATCAAAACAGTAGAAACTTTGTTTTATTAGAAGCCAAAAGGGAATTTTCAATTTCATTCTTTTCGATTTGACAAAGAATCATTCTTTTTCGAGAGCTTCCAAGGGAATTTGTGCATCAGTGAAAGGAAAAGTGCTGTCAAGATTTATCTTAATACTGCCTTTTCATTGAGAAATGCTTCTGTGCAGAACATAATTATCCCTTACCTAATTAAAATTGTAGGAAAATACAGGTTTTGATTCTGGAAGCTGCTAAATGATCTCAACTCCCATTGCCTTAATGTTCACCTGGTATTCTGGGAAACAATACTTTTGAGTCTTGTAGAATCAGACCCACAATTTGTATTTAGTGATATACTGCACATTCACAGTATAGTTGATTAAGCCATAAATCCAGAAGACTGTCATTTCCCAAAGCTCTCGGATCATACATAGCTGATGTTAAATTTGGAGGGAGAAAGGTAGAAGGCATCCAGCAGAGGTGAACTTAGGACAGAAGAGCTGCGCTGTACCTGACTTTGCCTTCCTTAGTCTTGGCAACACTGCGATCAGATGCCCTGCGCTATAGAGCGAATCTGAGATCAACATAGACTATGAAACTTAACTTTTTATCCTATAAAGCAGAAAACTACTACCATGTTTAAGGGGATTCAGAATATTTTAACTCAAATATGGCACAAAACCTAAAAGGCTGCACAGAGCAATTAAATTCCATGTTCCAAAACTAACAGCCCTGCCCAACTTTCTTTGCATTTATTAGGTTGGTGAAACAATTGGGATATCAGAGGAAATTATGGGGTTAACCATACTGGCAGCAGGAACATCAATCCCTGACCTTATCACCAGTGTCATTGTTGCACGGAAAGGCTTAGGTGACATGGCTGTCTCCAGTTCCGTAGGCAGCAATATCTTTGATATCACTGTTGGGTGAGTATTAGTTCAATGCTAAAAGATGCATTTCTTCTGAAATACAAAGCAAGCTGTTTTTATTCCAAACAGGGTCTTAATTAATTTCATTTTAGCTGTAATTAAATGAAGGGCAGCTGGACTACTTGTTACTTTTTTTTTTTTTTTTTTTTTTTTTAAAACCCCTAACCTAGTCAGGAAAGACAGATTTTTCTAACTTAGTGCAGCAGAGTGAACATTAAGTGGCATAGTTCAGCTCATTGTTCTGCAGCTGAAAATAATGGTATGTAACTCAAAACAGAAGCACTACCATCTTCACCTAATTCTGAATCAACAGAAAATTACTGATTTTTCAAGGCAAAAATGCAGCAAATCTTTGGCAAACATCAAAGACAGGATAGTTATCCAGTCACTCAGACATTCAGATCCTATGCAATCAAGGCTCAGTATCTGTGTCTATCTTTCATCAATAAAGCATCAGGACTTACTTCTTTATTATAGCACGCTGAGACACTTAATTCATAGGTACTATTTTTAAAACCCTTTTAGATTCTTGGCTTGCATTATGATAGTGCAAGTATTATCCAAATGCAATTTTTGACACGAACAACATCAATTTTAGATTTATGCTGGGTTATACTGAATGCAATCATGCATTTTTTTCCTGTGACAGTTTGGAAAAATTGCTCAGTTATGATGCAGAAAATCAACTGCCTTAAAACATATTTCAATTGCTTTTCCTTTACTTGCAGTTTGCCGGTTCCTTGGTTCCTTTACTCTGTCTTCAATGGGCTCAGTCCAGTTGCAGTCAGTAGCAATGGTTTGTTCTGTGCAATTGTTCTCCTTTTTCTCATGCTCCTATTTGTGATTATCTCAATCGCTCTATGTAAATGGAGAATGAACAAACTGCTGGGGCTCACTATGTTTGCTCTTTACTTTGTGTTTTTGATCATCAGTGTGATGTTAGAAGACAAGATAATATCCTGCCCAGTATCTGTATGACATTTGGACAGTTCAAGATGTATATAAGCATACATGAAAATCAAAAGGGGTTTAAGGTAGCAATTGTTCTACTGAAAAAAGCAACCAGAATTATAATAAACTTACTGGGGATAAAATACCTTTAAAATATTAAAAAAACCTCAAGTGGTATGTCAGCCTCTACTGTTTTTCTTTATGATCACAAAAGATCAGATAATGAAGTGACCGATATCAAATAACATACATATTTAGGTATTTGTGGAAAGGCTGATATGATATAGACGCATGAAGTTTTCCATATGGCTGATCCCCTCAAGTTAATGGAACTGATTTTCAGCACAGAGTATTTACTCATTATAGAAATATTTTCAGGAACACACTCTAAATTACTTAGTCAGCTGCTCAAACTCACTGAAATCAATGAACTTTACTTCAGTGGGAACAGAACCAGACATTTACTGCTTACCCTTACAGAACTACTCTGCTTAGAATCATTGTGTGGACACACATTCTGCATCTCAGAAGTGAACTCCCTCAAATTGCATAAAAGCAATGAACACAGCGGTTCCCGAGGTTTGTGCTGCAGCTAGTTTGCCATGACTTCCCTAACGCAGGTAGTTTTCATCCTTTCATGAATGCCACTATAAAGCATCTACAACTGGTACTCTTCACACACCTCCAAGAAAGTGTACACGGAACATGTGATGAACTTCAGAGGAAATGCTTTTTGCTGCCCCTCTTAAGACTGTGGGAAATGCAATACTAAGGTTTTCATGGAAAAAGCAAAGCAGTAAGAGTTATTTCTGCATGCAGAACAACACGGAATTTGAGAGTTGCACAGCAATCCTGACAGGTATCCATATGGCTCCTTTTAAATCTGTATCTGATCTTGCAATACAATCCCTAAAATTTACGGTAAGTGCCACCAATACAAGTGTGATGTCATATGGATTTACATCTTACTGTAACAAGACTAAACGGATCTGGGGTTAGAATACCACATTACCACTAACAAAAGCTAAAACCAGGAATCACAGGAAGTTGAACTGCTTGAGTTTTGTTTTCATCCTGACACTAATCTCTGAAATTTACATATTGTATCCAGCACTAATTCTTGTTGTTAGCACTGTCTTCTACATAACCACTATGAAAAAATGCCACTGACATCAGCTATCAACAAACCTGAAGGGTTTATTGTTAACAATGCAATGCCTCATGTGAGCAGATGATGTAGTTAAGAGTTGCAGACATTTCTGTCATTCTAATCCATCTAATAAAATGTTAATGAAAATAACCAGAAAGATTTTAAGCTTTTTATTGACTCACCGTAAAACTTTTTTTGGATGAGACAGAAAAAAACTTAACATTGTGAACACTGACTTGCGTATGTTAAAGGAACTACAAACCAAAGCAAGACATCCAACATACTGTTTTTTGGTAAATAAAATTTAAACATTACATATTTACAAATCTACAACCATTCATTTAAAAAGTGCTGCTTGCAGACTAACGAAGTACCATTTTTAAATCCCAGTGAGATAATATCCAGAAATACCCCTCTCTACTATAACTATTTGCATCTCCCATTTGTTACACAAAGATTTTACATGCAGGAATTTTCTTTCTTGGGGTACAAATCATTTAATTCTCCAGTGGAAGTCTAATTCATCAGGCTGTAACTGTACCAACAGCAAACCTTCTCAAAATGGGAAACAGTTAGCAGTGTCAGAGAAACAGCACAATTTCTATTCACATTTCAGTATTTCATCTCCAATAATTATTCCAGTGGAACCATAAGTAAAGCAAAATATATGTTGCAGTGCAAATGTAAAACCTTTGTTTCAGGTTTTTAACATAAGCATTATTTAGTACACAAAAGGAGAAAATTCAGTTCATACAAAATTTTAAATTGAAAATATGTCTCATATTTTATTTGCCCATCTTTGCAGTATTGGAAAATATACTCAAATTGCTTTTCTAATAAAGGACAGTGAGATTTGAAAACTGTTTCAACACTGAATTGTATGATGCTTAGAAATGATCCACCTCAGGACCTACATTTTGAACATTATGACTTGAATGAGGAAAATTTCCCACTTAAAGTATATCACTATTCCAACTACATTTTATTATAGTATTTCTACAGTGGACTGACTTGCAACAGACTTTATAAAACAATTCATTAAGTATAATGATTTCACTTGATGAATTACTACATGATATAGTAATTTAAAAGCACGCCCAAATAAACATCAGCAATGCTTCAGGAGTGCCACTCTGAGGATGCAAGAACACAGTAAGATTGTTTGTCTGAAGGATGCATATACAGTCCTTTTCACAGTACAGTATATACACTCTTCTGATAATACTGGCAGGGCTGTTGATATTTGAATGAAGCGGCAAACTTGTTGGCTTTATAAGTCTGAAGATAGTTGGAAGAACTTACAACTAAGCTGGGACTAGGATGATGAAAGTGGGCCATGTATTACAAGTGTTGCATCTATTCCTGTGCCAACAGACAGTTAATGTCCTAGTAAGTGAGAGGTGGTTAGAGACCAGGCTCAGTCACTTCTGCCAGACTAAAATAGGAAGCGTGCTTCATAGCTCAGTACCTCTAACACACCACGGCAGCTCTGGAAAAAGCACTTGCCCTCCTTCATGGCTTGAAGGTCCTGTAGAACAATGGCTGCCCCAAGCGGTAAATGACATGGGAAACAGAACTGTGAAGAGCTAGGGACATTACCTTATACACAGCACAAACATGTTTGAGTTTATATACACAGCAACTACTGTATGCAACTTTTACTCGGTAAACACAGTGTACCTACTGCACAGAGCAGAGCATACATGCACACTAATAGGTACTTATAATGAATATGTTAAAAAAGAACCTGGTGTTTTTCACAACAGTTCAGAAGAATGAAGGGGATATGTATCCACCCTACACTGATACACTGTTTACCATCCACCTGCGTGAAAAAAGTAGCTATATTTCATGCATGAGGAATACTTCACAAGCATGGCAGTACAAAAGAGAGCATCACAAATTGTTAAAATAAATTAAATGTGAAAAATGTTGGTAAGTGTAGCATTGCTAGCTCCACCTCAGGTTGGGGGGATACTTTCAAAAAGGTCAGCTACATAATTAGCAGCAAATTAGAGACGAGGTATTACCCAATGAAAGCTGTATCCAACAAGACTGCATCTTGCAATTATCATCAGCATATACCTGCAGCTCTACAGATTTTAAATCATAGAACCATAGAATCGTTTAGGTTGGAAAAGACCTTTAAGATCATCAAGTCCAACCGTTAACCTAGCACTGCCAACTCCACCACTAAACCATGTCCCTAAGCACCATGTCTACATATCTTAACTTTCTCCTTAGGGCAGCATCTTCTTACTACTTTACAGAGGTCTGGGAGGAGGTTACATAGAGCTTCACAGCAGCATTACTTCTCATTTAAGCCTCTAAGAGGCTCACTCTATTTCATTTAATAAAGTAAATGTGATCTTCAAAGTTTATCTCCTTTCTGCCTAACTAAATATCACTATTATTACACTTGCAAACTAAAGAGATTTTTAAAAAAATACCTGCTGGTTGGCAGACTGAAATATAAAAATCTAATGTAACAGCTGAATATTTAGACGTATTATAACAGCAACAACTAAAAGAAATTAGAATTGGAAAACCATTAAGATTACTTAAAATAAAGCTATTTGTTAAAGCACAGTTTAATTTATTTAGGGTGTTTTATACAATTCAATGTCTCTTTTCCCACCTCCGTACAAGACTTCTGGTATTTTTCTCTGTAGCCTACCTTTTGGTGAGGAGTTGCTATGTGACTGAGAGCACAGAACATTTTTTTAAATCTCTAGAACAAGAAAACATGAGTCAAAAGCCATGACTCCACCACAAGGACCGACACAGTGTTTTTCTTCACAGAAAAAAAAAAAAAAAAGTTGTTTTGCCTGTGAAATAGAGACCAAACACTCCAAGTACATTTAACTATGCACAATATGTCCCAGTAAGTTACAATCCCTATATATTCCCTGTAGCAAGTTTGCTGTATGTACTTTAGTTAAAAGCTTTGGATTAGCATTATGTATGTGTCATATTTAGCGTGTTTCAAACACATCCACCAAGACTCTGAACACTGTATGTTTATGAAGAACTTCTTGCAGGCTCATCATTTGCTTTGTATTACATCTGTAATGAGGTCACATTAACAAATGCCAACAGCGGAGATGGACTGATTCCGTAACATAATCTGTAGGATTTTACTAGGGAGTGGGGAGTGAAGGGAACAGGAGAGGAAGAGAAGGGGATTTCTACAGAAGTGTTTCACAGAGACATCAGTGTGTTCATTAGTAGAGTTTTAACAGAAGTTTACCATACCTTCCTTCTGACTGCTGTGGTAATATGTTTTCCATGGGTGCATGAGAGAAATCCTGTATCTAGAGTACTGTCTAGGTGAAGGTTGACATTTTCTATTCTGCTTTAAAAACAAATCACTCTTCAAAAAGTAACTGGACAAGTTACTATAAATAGCAGTGTACTGCAAAAAAAAAAAAGCACTGTATTGCTTATGCAGCAAGTCCATTTAAAATTCACTCCAGTAATTTAAAAAAATTAAAAAAATATCAACTTACTATAAACAATTTAAAATAGGTATAATACAACTTTGTATGCTCTTCATAATATCATGAATATTCTATGTAAACAATAGATTTTGAAGAATTTACTTCACTCACATTACTTTCAGTGCATTGTTTCTGTCCACCTGTTTAATTTTTTTTAAGAAGGGAACTGTAATATGTTGTCCCAAGTTAAAGAACTGATTTTGTTTAAAATCTTCCTTTCTACACATTGATTTGCAGAAAGGACAAGGGACAGGGAAATAATATTTGACCCATTTTTCACTCTGTCCATTCCCACAACTGTAGATAGGCCTAATTTTTCCAAGGCCTTCTGCCATAGTACATTCGTACATACGTTCTTAAACACTGAAGACTGAGATGTTCCTTGTGACTGAAGTGGTTATGTTACACAGGTATACATCATAGATATCACCCCTTTATCTACGTATATTTAAAGATATGGTTCTCCAAAAATCTTTCTGCATTCCATCACTCCAGTACTTGGTGGTCTATCACAGTTATGAGTATTCTTCACTTGATTAGCTGTGAGACGATCATAGGCCATTTTGTACTCTCTGTCAAAAGCATCTGCAGAAATAGAAAAACAACTTCTATATACCATGCTCAAAACCACAACCCAAATACAATGACAGCTAGTATGCTTGTCAGCAGAAAAGAACTGTAAAGTCCTTTTTATTCAGCACTTACCACTGAATGACACACATCTAATCTACAGGTTTTGGGGGGTTTTTTGGAAGCTGAAAAACTAGTCTGCATACATCAATCATCTATGTTTATCCAAATAATTTATGAAACTTACCTATATCAATGTTATCTCTTCCTAGGGCAACAAGTGAAAGAAATAGTATTTCTCTGTAAAGGCTCCTGCAATTGTAAAAAGGTCAATTTATATACTGCAATAATGTACCACAAAACAATCTATATTAAAAATAGATTGAAGCACTTAAAGATAATTTTTTTTTTTTTTAAAGTGGCATTTTGAACATAATTCCTGATTGCCACCTCCAAAATGTTGTCATTTCTGACCTCTGGAGAATGCCCTGGACTCCCTGCATATGGACATCACTCGTGGTAGGTCCTTAAGGTGTGCACTGATGTGCTGGAAGTTGCACCAAGTGCATGCAGAGTGAAGCATGCACTTAAGGCACTCAACCAAATTCCACCAAATTTGACAAACAGGTAAGGAGCTTGCTTTTCTGCATTTCTACATTATGTTGAAAAAGCAGGCAGACAAGCAAATAAACACCTTGTCAATGTTCCAGCTGCTGAAAAGACTGCTATATATCCTATTACAAAAAAAAAAAAAAAAAAATCAGTAAAACCAGGCAAGAAATATAAATTCATAGGAAATAATTTTCACTAATTCCACTGTTAATGGAAAAAACTTCCTAAATATGAGACTTAACCTCTCTTCTTAGCTCTTCTGTTCTCTAGTGGAAACTTAAAAACAAACAAAAAATCCACCCATGCACCCTAAGAACAAGTGAAGGGTTTTTTATTTTTAAAAAATCACTAATATCTAAATAACATTTAAAAACAAAATATACACATATATACACACTCCCTACTTGATTGCCCATCATTCAGAGGTAAGAAGAAAGAGAGGTGGCTGTGAAGGGGAGAGGAAAAAGTGAAAAATAGTTTCTCCAATTTTTTTCTAACTTACATTTGTGAAAGTTATCACAAAAAAGAAGAATATTTACCACACTGAGTGATAAATTTGAGAACACTGCTGAAAAAGTGCTTTTTTCTTCAAAACGCACACTATGGAATTATAATTCATGTTACAATCCTTATTGTTGTCCAACTTTGCTCCAGTTAGGCACATTCATATTCTTACCGCTGTCTTTTAATATGTGGCCATTTGTTCAATCTCTCCAATATTTGACTCATTGGTCCGTACACATCATTCATCTTAATGCTTTTCACCATACTTCTCAAGAGCTCCTGATTAAAAGAGTCATCGTCTTTTTGCAATAAATGGACCATTGGGTACTTCTGGGCTGAAAAACATAAGAAATGCTGTAAGAATAAATATACTCTTTGTGTAGCAAGTAGAAAGTTGTTAAAAAAGGTGGGAGGCTACACAAACCGTGAAAACATTGACATATGCGTAGTGAACAAAGAACAATAAACATCAAATCAAAATAATATCAACGTAAGAAACACAGAAAGCGCACAGGAGAAAACTCAACAGCTGTAATGGGTCATGAGCTATTTTCAGGCATATGATCCAACACCGGCAACAAAATTCTTAGTAAGCAAATTCTAAAAAAAAAGAAAACAAGCTAAGTGGATGAACTGTCAATATAAGTTCAGTGTATCACTGAAACATATTCCTTCTTATTCCTCCCTTCCCAATGAAGAAAAAGCCACTGGAGGATACTGGTCAATGATTTGAAACGGATATGCTGGAAAACTAAAGTTGTTCAAGCAGTTTACTGCTAAGCATACAGCCACCCTCCCTCTCTCCCAAAACAAGTCACACAAACTTAGAATAGCAACACCAAACTTAACACTCACTCTCAAAGAAAAGAGTGCGATTTTGACCTGCAAGACAAAAAGTAGTATGATCAAAAATCAGTTATGTATCTTTTGTAACTATCCACAAAGACATCTTTTTTCAAAACATATCCTTCAGTTGCTCAAAATGAAAATTGTTCTTTAAAAAAAAAAAACCCACACCAAAAACACAAGAAACAAAGCTTACTCTGAGCATTCCACAAAATATACAGAGGCTGCCTTGGATCCTGATGCAATTTCATATTGTCCCATAGCATCTGAATAAGAACATATTTACTGTCCTCTGACATACAGTTTCGTGGAATCTGAACAGGAGAATGCATAAAGATATTTTATTACAAAGTCATGACAGAGGACTTCCGTATTTAAAGTATATCTTTACATCTATAGACCTCATGGTAAAAAGCTTTAATATTAAACTGCTGTGAAACCAGAGAAAGCTAAATCTGAGCAAGATGTCAGTGACATAGCAAATGAGTATTTTGCATATCTTCCTACAGTCCTAAAATCATAACTTCCTCCTCCTTCTACTGCTTAAATAGTCAAACTGCAATAAAACCAACTAGAAACTTTTCTTTGTAACTGAGGATCACAAATTACAGTGTGACTAGTAAGAGTTCTAAACACTTACCCACACAAGTACTGCTGAGCCCAAGTTCCAGAGTTACGCATGTTTTCCTTCAGTTGATACATTCTTTACCAATTCAGAACTGGGCCCAGCATGTTGTAAGACACATTTCTAAGAGTTACTGAATTATTTACTGATTTCCTTATGGGAAAACAAGCATTTCTCATATGTCAATATTTCCTATCTGATTCCATACCTTGGAGTTCTTATTACAGTGCTCAGAAGAAAGTATTAATCCTGGTAAGTTGCTGGGCAAGTCCAAGCGTCTGAAATACCACACCAAATTCCAGAACACAATAGGATGATGATCTACAAAGTCCGCCACTGTTATTGCATGATCCCCTTCATTTTCAAGTAAGCTCTCAAGCTCTTTCCATACCACCAGAGGACTGAGATAAGGAACCGTTATAGGATCAGGGCTAGGTAAGCACCATTCTAGGCCCAAGGAATCCTATGGTAAAAAAAAAAAAAATGCCATTAGTTGGAATGTAATTATCTTTACAAAGTCTTATGAATGCTTTTGTTCCCTGTGAGACACATCAACATCTAAAAGCTACAGCTAATATTTAGTTTAAATAATAAAACCTAGTAGTTCCTGTAATTTGGGATGGTTAATTCTGTTCTTCTAATTAATACTGTTTCACATTTCTCTAATCTATCACACACTTAAAAAAAAAAGACATTTAAGGTAGAAAAACTACACACTGTTGGTCCTTGCAAAGTAGCAGGCAGGCTACCAGTAGGAATGATATGGCTGATCATCTGGTTTTCCTTCTCATCTTCTTCCAATGGACCAAAAGTACTGATACTCCTTGCCACAGGGTGACTTGTACATTCTGACCCAGAGGTATTTTGTCGTCTTCCTGAGGGGATCTGGATACTTCTGGCACAAATATTGTCATGCTGCTTAGATTTGCTGGGGGGCGGGGAGAGGGGGGAAAAAAAAAAGGTTAAGAATCTCAGCTTCTTGTTTTACTCTGAGTGCTCAAACATGTACACAAACAGACAGAAATAAACCAGAAATAATCAGCCTGACACCCCAAATTCTACCTTGTCAGCCACCACACTCATTCATGTTACAGTGCAAGTTTTATTCCCCCCTTGCACCAATAATGAACACAAACATCCTCAAAAGAGTTCATAAAATTTGCAGAATTACAGATGCCTACATGAATTTTTATATTAGGGATGAAATGATAAACACCATGCTGAAAAAGCATGATGTGGCCAACTCGGAGGTAAGGGAGAGGCAGCACGGAGATGTTCTCAAATCAATTTCTCCTCTTCAGAGAGTATCTTATTAAATTTATTTCTGTTGATAAGGAATACATGCATATCCACAGGGAACCTGAGTAATTTCTATGCAGAAAATGCAGGTTTACCTATTTGAATTTATATCCTCTTGAACAGACATTAGAGATGTAGCAAGGCCAACAGCAGCTGCAGTGTTACAGGACTTCCCGCTCTGATTTGAAAAAAGTGATGGGAACTGCATGTTTTCTGTCGAAGGGCTGGACTTCAGAAAATAACTGCAGGGAAAGCAAAAGCTTAGTATTACCTAAAACAAAACAAAAACCACTTCACAATTATGAGCATTCAAAATTGAGGAAAATTCAAATAATGTTATTACCGTCCAGGTCGCCGAAGATCTCTAATTTCTATGCTTAAAAAAGGCAGAAATAAATTGCCACAGAACGGACACGTGGTATTGAGATTTGAATCATCTGCTGTCCAACCTGCCATGATTTCTTCATCATGAACCAAACAGTCACAAGTTCGACATCGCGAACAGCTTGAGATGAGGACCTGCAAACAGCAGATAACAGAACTCCACTATAACACATTCTCAAAATTACTCGTCTTTTACAAAGCAGTTAAAACTATAGCCAAAATCTTTGCCCTTAGATGAATACTACTCACCACTTGCATACAAGTTCAGCCACATATCTATTCCCAGGCTTTAGGATGGAACATATGGGTTTAAACTTATGTATTTCAGAAAAACTATTAAATCTTAAATCCAAACGGCATTAGCAGACATTGATATGGTAAATGACTGGAATGAGCATTGTCTGACAAATTGATTAAATGCAGGTCTTTGTTCTATTGTAGCAAGTAGACTGGGATCTGGAACTATGCTTGTGAAATAAATATACTTTAGCTAAGTGGGTTAGGTGATCCGTTTATGGCTTCCCAGAGTAAAACCAGCCAGTTATTGAATAATATTTTTATTAACAATAACATGTCATTTGTAATCTGTTTGCAAACATAATAGTACAGGAATATTTATGCAGCTACATAAATTATTCTTAGAATTTAAACACTCTGCTGTAGTGACTGCCAGTATAATAGAAATGAGGGGGGGGGGAAGATGAAAATGACCAGTCATTAATCCGAATCCACTGAAACAAACAAACAAGAAAAAAAAAAGAGCCACCCAAACCCAGTGTAATAGTGAAAAGCAAAATGATCCTACTAGAAGCTACAACAAGAAATAGCTAGTTATCTGCTCTGTATTTTTAAATGTATAGTGCTATTTAAGACTTGGTATTTTCACGTTAAAGAAATTTAGCTGCGCAAGGGATTTAGATGCCTGAATTCAATGGCATCCAATTCTCAAACTCTTGAGAACCGCAGCTTTAAGGACCAAAAGATGTGACTACAATAAAGACATTTCTAGAGCAGGATTTGAAATGAAACTTACTCTGTCTCACAGAAATATTTATCTATCTTTCAGTGCATTAGTTTTAAGCTTTGAACTTCAACAGAGATTCAGATAGCATTTATATTTAAAGACACATGCTTTTAGTGTATCAATTAAAATCAATAAATCATCCTGTACCTCCATAGCGTAGTTCTGAAACACACTGGTACTACTTGTACTGCAAGAAGATATCAACTCTGATTTGTCAGGTAAAGGGAACTTTGAAAGAGAACCTATTAACAGAAGAAACCCAAAGTATTAGTTATTCAGAATATGCATTTTTAGTAGACTTTTTCTGGTCAAACAATACAGCAGTTATAAAATGTATGATGGAAGATGCAACAAATCAGATAGACAGAAAGAAACGTGAAGCTGGAGTGTGAGGCTGCCATCTGCCCAGCACCAACAACAGCAAAAATAAAATCTACCAACATAGAATTTCCATATGTTCAGTTTACTTCTTTTACAACAGTTGGTAGCTTGGAAACAAATTTTACAGATTAAGTAATTCATACCTACACTTTCTGTCTGGACAAAAACTAGGGAAGGATAAGAGGTGCTGCTTGTGACTGCAGATATCCCTGACCCTTCTCTTTGCCACACTTAACGAGCCAGGCTCCCCTCAGCCTCAGGATGCCCCAGTCCCCTGCCCATGATGGCAGCCTCCATCGCCCCTCTCCAGTTCCTCCACATCCCACAAACTAGGGACCCAGATCTGGACATACTCTTCTAGGTGCTAAGCGGAGGGATCTAAGTAGACAGATCTTCTTTCGTCCTGATCCTGCTTAATACACTGTACTCTATAATGACAGTAGTACAGGAATTAATATAAGTCATTAGCAATTATCCAGCACAGATTGGGGGGGGAATAATACTACAAAGTCAGTCTGATAATCAGCTTCAACAGTGGCTTATAGAAAATGATAACAATTTTCAAAAAAGGATTTTTACTACTTTTAGAAAACAAAAACAGACTCATAAAGTTACCTTTTGAAAGTTTTTATAGATGTTTTCTGGAGCTGTACAGCTTACAAATAAGATGATTACATGAATACTGAAGGACCTAAAGGGTCTCTTATTTGCATAGCTGTAGCATCCAGAAACTTATTCAGGGATAGGATGTTACTGTGCAAGTTACTCCACAAGGAAGAACACCCAGAACAAGGTTCTACAATAAAAATATCCATAGGTATGCACATATCTGTATGAGTCAGTCAGTCTCACCTCTGTGCCTGGGAAGATCATGGAACAGATCCTCCCGGAAGCTATGCTAAGGCACATGGAGGACAGGGAGGTGATTCCAGACAGCCAGCACGGCTTCACCAAGGGCAAGTCCTGCCTGACCAACCTAGTGGCCTTCTATGATGGAGTGACTACATCAGCGGACATGGGAAGGGCTACAGATGTCATCTGTCTGGACCTCTGTAAGGCCTTTGACACAGTCCCCCACAACATCCTTCTCTCTGAACTGGAGAGGTATGGATTTGATGGGTGGACTGTCCGGTGGGTAAGGAATTGCTTAGATGGTCACATCCAGAGGGTAGTGGTCAATGGCTCAATGTCCGGATGGAGACTGGTGATGAGTGGCATCCCGCAGGGGTCCGTATTGGGACTGGTACTGTTTAATATCTTCATCAATTACATTGACAGTGGGATTGAGTGCACCCTTAGCAAGTTTGCAGATGACACCAAGCTGAGTGGTGCGGCTGGCACGCCAGAAGGACCTGGACAAGCTCGAGGAGTGGGTCCATGTGAACCTCATGAGGTTTAACAAGGCCAAGTGCAAGGTCCTGCAGCTGGGTCGGGGCAACCCCCAGTATCAATACAGGCTGGGGGATGAAGGGATTGAGAGCAGCCCTGCCAAGAAGGACATGGGGGTACTGCTGGATAAAAAGCTGGACATGAGCTGACAATATGCGCTCGCAGCCAAGGAGGTCAATCATAATCATATCCTGGGCTGCATCAAAAGAAGCGTGGCCAGCAGGCTGAGGGAGGCGATTCTGCCCCTCTGCTCTGCTGAGACCCCACCTGCAGTACTGCGGCCAGCTCTGGAGCCCTCAGCATAAGAAAGACACAGACCTGTTGGAGTGGGTCCAGAAGTGGGCCAGGAAAATCATCATGGGGCTGGAACACCTCTCCTATGAAGAAAGGCTGAGAGACTTGGGGTTGTTCAGCCTGGAGAAGAGAAGGCTTCGGGGAGACCTTATTGCAGCCTATCAGTACTTAAAGGGGGCTTATAAAAAAAGATGGTGGCAAACTTTTTAGCAGGGCCTGTGGCGACAGGACAAGGGGGAATGGCTTTAAACTAAAGAGGGGTAGATTTTAGACTAGATAAGGAAGAAATTTTTTTACGCTGAGGGTGGTGAGGCGCTGGCACAGGTTGCCCAGAGAGGTGGTGGATGCCCCATGCCTGGAAACATTCAAGGTCAGGTTGGACGGGGCTCTGAGCAACCTGATCTAGTTGAAGGTGTCCCTGCCCACGGCAGGGGAGTTGGACTAGATGAGCTTTAGAGGTCCCTTCCAACCCAAACTATTCTATGGTTCTATGATTCTATGAGTAATAGTTTGCAGGTAGGAAAAGAAGAACTTACTTCTGCAAAAAGGACTAATGACTAGGATGATCCCAAACTGAGAATTATGAAAGAACAACTTCTAGAACTGGAATATTTTTGTTCAGATCAATGAACGCAGTGCAGAAGCTGTCTCTTACCACACTGGTCAAATTGTTTTGATGAGCCATCATGGGAAGCTGAGCTTTCTAGACTTGTCCTGCTGAGGCCAATTCCCTTAATTTCTGATGTGGTATTCTCCTGAGGAGAAGCACTTTCAAAATCATTGCAGACATCTTCATCAGTTAGAGAAGTAGATTCTGAGTCCAGAGCTCCAAGAGATGAAACACTTGCTCGGTCTGAATTTTGATCCTGAGGGAAGAAAACAAATTCCACTGAGAAAAGGAAAGTAAAAATTTTTCTGAAAATAAGAGGCAGCCTTCTTTGTCTCAGTAAATTCAAGGCATGAACTTCCCTCCTTGAAAAGTCACTCAGCTCAGATCTGTATTACGAACAAATGTGAAACAAAGCAAGTTTCACTCAGGGTTAAATAGCTACATGAGGATTCTTTTTAAGAGATTCTCCAAATAAGAGCTAAATAAAACCAAACATTTTAGTCCTATAACTTTTTACCACCATTGCAATAGAAGTTATCAGCAGTCGTAGGAATGCATTAGGATAGGCAAGGCATCACTGATATTTTAGTTAATTAGTCTCAGATTGCTTTTAAGCACATTAAGACAATACACCAACAGCAAACTGCATTTATTTTCATTCCCAATAATTAAATTGGTTTGAGTTGGTAGCAGCAAAGAACTTTCTAAACAAATGACCTCGGTTCAAAGTCAGCCTTAAATCACCTTGGTAATCAATACAAGCAGATTTCCCTTTTTTTCATAAAAGCTGTAAAGAATTAAAAACATTATTGTTTATTTCAGTATTTTTTCTTTAGGTAAATAAGGGAAGGCAGGGCAGAGAAGACTGCTTTGTCAACACGCTATGGTATACTTAGGTTTTCCCATTAAATATACTCTGAACCCACACTAGACCGAAATTTTGTTTGATTCAGGACAATAAAATTAGGGTCCTGGAAATTCAAACATGATTAAAACAGCTTAATGCACAAGGTCTACCATGATGCATGTCATTCAAATGGGCGATTCATCACATAGGAGTCTGTGATTAAATCTTTACAAAGCTTCTTCCTTAATTTATAGGAACTTAGGTTTTGTAGGGGAGGGGAAAAAGTAATTATAAAAATTTACCTTTGAGGATGCAGCATACATTGTAAATTTTGAGTACCACTTGCTAGCTTTCTCTGCAACCCCTTTTCCAGCAGAAAACATGCTGCTTTTTAGAACATCAAACTTAGGTGTTAACAGTGTATCCAAGTTAAATGATGGTGAAGACACAAGTGTTAATGCACTAGTTGCATCCTGTGGCTGTTCCTTTGCTGGACTGTTTGGGGAATAAGCTGGGGAGGACCAAAGCCTGTCTCTTGGCCTTTCTTCATTTTTTGCATGATAACTCTTGGATTTGGTAAGACTGGATGGCCTTGGGGAGTTTGGGGGAAGGCTGGACCTCCTACAAGGTTGGATTACTGTGGGGCTCTTTTTATTCGCATTTTTGTCATCATAGGGTTTTTGCAACTCAATGCTTGGGGCACGACTTGACAAAGGGCTGCTCATGTTGTTCATGTACATAACTATTTCTTCAGCTAAATCTCGCCTTGCAGATGGAGTAGAAACACTTCTATCATCATCATCCTCCTCCTCCTCTTTCTGCTGTTCTGTCTCGGCAACCAGCAGGGACAGTGGATCAAATCCAGTTTCAACATCTGTCTTTTCAACTGGCTTTACTGGAAAGCTGCTCTTTCTTTGCAGCCTTCTAGATTTTTCACTGGAGGATTTCACTGCTGTAGATGTTTCAGGTTCTGCATCCAAGTCTTCCAGATCAAAGATAACAGGAGACTCTGTTTTATCTGTAAAACTGCAATCAAAAGCTGCATCTTCATCACTAGATTCTTTCTCCAGGCTTTCTCTCTTAGATCCTAAAGAGGAAGTTCTGATATTAAGAGTTTTTGGCCTTATGCTTTTCTGTAACGCACTAGATAGGATTTTGGCATCAGCTCCTAGTTTTTCAACAATTTCTCCAGGGTTTGCTTCCTGATTTATTCTATTTATCATGAGTCCCACTAAGCCATCTCCACTCAGATTACGGTTCCTGCTTTCCCATGGTATCGCCCTTAAGTCAGGTTCTACTGCACTTTTATGTCTCTTTCTTAAAGATTTACTTTTTGTAACTTCCGCTTCACTGGCATCCTCAAAAGATGATGTAAACAGCAATCCTACAGAACTCTCTGAAAAACAGACGAAACAAGGTGATTTATTTCTTGCTATGCAAGAAGAGTAAACAAAATTACAAAAAGAATACAATCTGTCTCATCTTTCAAACAGTTTACAACACAGAGATGGAATTCACTATGTATGTGCTAGTGGTTGAAAAGTTGAGTTGACCATGATCATAACTTTTCGGAAGGGTCAGATGATCAAACATTTAAAAGGGAGTCAAATCATACAACTCAAGAGTACTTGAGAGACACCATCAAGAAAAGTCTCAGATGTATTTAGCTTCCTCTTTTGGAGACATACTCCATTATTAAGAGGTTTGAAAGCTAGAGACAGCAAAGGTATCTAGGAAATGGCAAAAGAAAGCAACACTTTCTAACCTGATGAATTAGAAATCAAGCCAACAAAAGGAGTTCTTGTCAGAGAAATTCTCCATTGTTTTGCCAGAGCATAAAGATGCAGACTTTAAAGTATGATACTACAGTATTTCAAGCACAGCTGACAGTATTAAAATAACCAGATCTGACATTACTAAAGACTTGTGAAAATGCCTGAAAGTTTATTTTAATTGTACTGCATAGAAACCTCTTGTCCATCCTGAAGGAATTTATTAGTTGCTGGAGATTATAAGAAAAAAAAACAACCAAGACCTGGGATTTTGTAAGCAGATGTTAAGTATAGCAAAAAAAAAAAAAAAGAGCAAACAAAAAAATCTGGAAAAGCAGAATATTCAGACAAATCTCCCTGACACAGCATGTGCAGACTTTAACATAAACTCACTCCCACAAAGCTGTTCCCACAAATTTCATCGGCCACTGCCATTACACCAATAAAATACTGTAAGTTTTGTGGACAACAGAACTCAGGCACACAACTTAGAGCTCTTGTTAGAAATGGAATATATTTATATAGACAAAACTGCACAAGAATCTAAATCTATTTTCTCTTCCACTCACCTGTGCTAGCTTCTGCTACGGTAGTGTCAACTGTACCGTTGAGCCGCACTATGCTAGAAGCGGCTTTGGCATTACTTGAGTTCTGATAATTTAGTTTAGGTAGGCAGTCGCCACTCCCTTTTGCACTCTCCACTTCGGACACTGCATATAGAAAAGGATAGACAGTTCTTCAGAATCAAAGCAACTTAATTTAAATCTCAAGTTTCCATTACCTATTAGATGCATTATGCAGGATTAAGTGACAGCATGTTGTACATATCCCATGATGCATAGGCTGATGTCTACTTGGGCAGAGGTTTTCAAGCTGTAACAACTGAACTATGGATATTTAATTCCCAGCATTACTTTTATAACTGGAAGTTCCATAAGCTTCTGTACATAGAATCCAAGTAACCAGTACTTGCATACCAAAATTTGTGGTGGTTGTGGAGACTAAGACCACCCTTGTTCACTTGCAAAGGATAGGCATGAGTATTTTCTCCTGCCTTTGCAAGAGCTCAGGGCCGACAAGCCTGTCTTCATCCAGATCTCATTACCCCCATCACCATGACTACACAAAAGAAATGAAGCAAATGTTGCAGTATTATATTCACCTCTTTTAGATATGAAAGACGAATTCTGTTGTCAGGTGGCTACCCAAAACAGACAATTACTTCTCTAAAGGAATTCAAACAACTTAATATTCTCAAGTTGTATTCAAAAGTGCAAAACATTTTCAGGACATAGTATTTCTATAGAGCGCCACAAACTTGTCTTAATTATGGCTAAAAATAATACAGGCTTTCAGCAGAATTCACATTTTCTGCATCCTCAAAGGTTTCATTAAACCTAAATAACCTGCCTGCTGTCTTACAGATATGTTCTTATGACCATGGGTAACACAAATTTTCAAGCAAACTGAAAAAAAAATACTAATGCTAGAAGGAAGACAGTGTTGAAAAGAAAACACTGAAGTAACTGTCCTGGTTCCATATTTTCTCATACTTTTACACCATTTCCATTTGACAAGAGGATAATTAACTCAAATAGTAGGGGAAAGCACACTGAAAATTTTAAATAACAATATTATTAGGAGAACATTTATTATGAAGAGTATTTTCAATGAATGTATATGGGAATCTATAGTACTTATACATTTTTACTACACAATCTGATCTGCTATACGCTTGCATAAAGTCTATGCTGCTCAACTGCAGTTAAGGGAATCATGAGCAGCAGATGTAAAACCTGAAGAAAAAAAAAAGGTCCACAGCAAATCCAAAGCCCTTCTCATTTCTGATGTATCTCCTACATTTTGATAATTCCAGGGAGCTGAGTAATTTAGACCTCTCACAGACCTGCAAAAATTCAGCTGTTCTCTTATGGGATTTATAAAGAAAACAGACTGGTAGGAAAGGCTTTCCTGTAGATTATGCCTATAAAGCAATTTAATTTTTTTAAAAGACAAAAACATTAAGCTGTAATTATCATTAAGCCTTTATATTACCATTATCACTTATTTGAAACAGAAGAGGGAAAAAAGAACTGTAATTTTAAAAGTTAAACCATTAAACATCCAGAAAATTACATTTAGAGAAAAGAACTTAAGGCATGGGCATAAACTGGCATTATCACATACACTCACTGTAAAAAAAGTCAGCTGCCCCACTTAGCTTTTGCTGAAATCCCTATTTATGCACAATGAACTAGATATCTGTATTCATAAGATACATACGAGAACTGGAGTCACTCTCTCTCTTGTCCTCTTTTTGTTCTTGTATGCCTTGAAGACAAGTTTTCCCTTGACTGGCTTCTTCTTTGAATGATGTATTATTGCCAAAGTCTGAAAGTCCGCCTATCATAACAAGCGCAATGACAGAATGGTATTTAATAGCGTGACATTGTTAAACAGAATAAATTGAATATCCACAGTAATTCAAAGGCCTCTTATCAAGTACATTCCAATTAACAGTGAACATTTTACCACAAAAAAGTAAGAAAAATGATTGGCTTACTTTTACAGTATAACCACTGAAGTGATGCTCTACAGGATGAAATTAAAGGGATAATTTGCAACATTTCTTTTTAAATACTGTACTAAAGCACTGCTTGTCTTTGATTCTGTTGCCTGGTTTATTTGATCAGAATGTCACATCTTTTCAAGAGCTCTAAGAGGCATCTAAACATGGTTTCATTTTAGCGTAGTATGTTTCTCAGAGTTAATGCATGTAATTCTCATGGTTTTACTCTAGAAAGTAAAAAAACTGAAACAATGCAACAGCAACCATGAGTTTGTTTGCAAAATAAGATTAAAATAAAAATAACTAACACCACCCAAAAAAAAATCCCTGCAAGCATTCAAGCCACTATCTGGTCATTCTTAAGACAAAACACTGCCTCAAGCGTAACTAATATAGTCTAAATAATTGATTGATTTCAAGAACCAAATTTACTTAATACTAATGTGGCTGTTCCTCTTCCAGGTTGTTATAAAGCATTAGCACCGAAATAAAGCACATTAACAAAGCAGATAAGAAAGTTTCTGTTCATTATAAATACTAAGTGAGCACTTCAAGTCACACACATTCCACATCCTTTGTCCAGGTCAACCTGAAGTCTCCAGCATCTTTAGGGGTTTTACTCTCACACAGTTTACGAGAAAACAGTAAGCACCTGTCACAGATTAAGAGGGTATGACATGGCTGAAAGTGAGCTTCTTTCCCTTTTTTTCCCTAAAGATGCTGCACTGAATCTCTACAGAGAGGGTAAAAACCTTGTTGCTATTGTAAAGATAACAAAATATTCTGGAATTTATGGAAAGGTTTTGGGGATTGCCTGAAGAGTCAGCATGCATTCTAGTTATGTGCTTTCATGCAAAGACATCTCGAAAAATCAGGTGATGTCAAAAGCAAATACCATTAATTATATAAATGACAGTTACTTAGTAAAGGACTAATTACACTTCCTTAGTTTACACAGTCTGAGTTGTGACCAACATCCCTAAGCTCTTATATAGTGCTTTGCACAGAAGAGTTTCAAAAAAGTGGTTTATCAGGAAGGTCAGCTTCATGAAGAACAGGCAGAAAAAGTAGATTTGTTCAAGGTCATCCAGAAGGCTAGTGACAGAGCCAGAAGTAGGACTGTAGTCTCCTGAGTCTAGGAGAAATACTCTAGCCATAAGGCCATCATATCTATTCTGTTTGTCAGGGCAGAGAGTTACTTGTACGTATCTGGAATCATATAATAGCCCTGGTTGGAAGGGACCTCGAAAGATGATTCAGATGATCTTCATACATTTATACATGTATATTGTAAAGGTCTTCCAAGGTCAACTACAACTAAAATAACTATATCACTAGTACTTTAAAATGTACTGTCTTGCTTTACTAGTAGTAAGTTATAAATACTGTGGAAAGTAGTACCTACAAAAAATACAAACTACAGGTAATCACCAGTATGGTAATATAGCCATCTGAACATCACATAAATCATTACTGGAAAGAAAAGGAAAGAAAATAAAAATTTACAGCCTCAAATATTGTACTTATATACTAGATAAAAATAAATATGATCATTTCAGCTGGCACACAGAACCTGCAAACAGTACTACAAACTCAAGGACTAGTTCTAGTTGCCTCTTAACTAACATAAAAAAAAGGGGGAAAACAAGAAAGGCAAGGCTGGACAGAAGTTTCTGCCAGTTATGAGACTGGCTATTGCATGAACCAGGATAATTATCACATTGATTTCAGGTTCATATTTTGTCTCCATGAGGAGCTGATACAATAAATAAAGGGCAGACTTTTGGATTCAAAGACAAAAAAAAGAGCTGTTTTTTAAGAGTTACGCAAGAACATTTGTTTTTTTTTCTTCTCTAAAACTGTTTTATCATCAAATTCACAACAGAAAGCTTTTTGAAATAATTTTCTTATCAGCATGAAAATAAGAAAGAAAAGGATGTGAATACTTTACCAGGAATGGCTGTATGTGAGGTGCTGGCTGGTAGCTTTTTCAATGCTTTTTTAAACTGTGCTATTCCTAAAACAACGTTTCGTATTTTCATCCATAGGAAATAGCCACCTCGATTGCTTGAAGGCCAGGTACTTTCCAAAACGGCCTATTTCGGAAATATCAAAGTCAAAGAAAGTCATCTTAAGGAACAGCCAGATGTGAAGTCATTAACTTAAATTTCAAATTGAGTTACATTGCCAGTTATAAAGTAGATTTCTAAACCTATGAAAACAAAGACAACACAATCCTTCTGTCTTGTATTTCTTCCAGTTATTAAAAAAGACAGAATTACATGTGAACTGCTCCACTATTTTGCTTGCTTCTGTTTGCCTGGATAAAAATGCATTCCCCCCCCCCCCCCCTTTCAAAAATACTTACCTTATTGTAGTAGCCATAAGTAATGGCATTAGGGTCAACACCAGCTTTCTGCATTTCAAAAAGCACTCTCACTGCTAGCACAGGCTGACCATACTGTCCACACAGTTGCATAAGTACTCGGTAGCATACCTGAAAACACACACAAGTTAGTATTGTGCTTCTATAGTCGAACACGTACTCTGTTCAGTAAAACCCACGGGCTACTTCTGGAATTCTGGGGTTGACTTATTTTACCTCATCAGGTGGATCTATTTTTTTGGTATGCATTTTTTGTAGCACATCATATGCAGTTCTCAGAGCCCTGACTTTTGAATGGCACACTTTCACATACGCAGGAAGGCAGATAAACCAAAGGCCATAGCAGTGACGTAACAAACACCTGGACCACATCTGTGGTATGGAGGAGTACTTCTTAGCAATTTTATGTGCAGATTTAATTTCCTGTAAAGAATCATAAAGATTATTTGTGCATATTTACACACATATTACACAAACCTACACGTTAAAAACTGAACATGTATCATTATACCTACAGAAACTACATCATTAAGATGAACAACATACTCAAAGTGGGAAAGAAAATGAAAGCAGAGTGAGTGATACCAAAACCAGTTGCTGTGCAATATTCCCCTCCTAAAAACTTGCATTTCATTAAATTTATGTCTGTTACTTTTGGTCTGCATTTTTTGTAATAAGCATTTGAAAGTTAGAGCCCCTCTTAAAGCCCTAGACAGTGAAAAGCAATCAAAAAGTGGATGTGGAAGCCCAACAGTCTATGCTCATGGAGAACAGCGTGAAGAACGTGGAAGGTATAGGGACAGCACAGCAAACAGCCATCTGTGTACAGGGGCCCTGTACAATATGGTGTAGGCAAGAAGCACAGGTAAACATCCAAAGAAAAATTGGCATGGCTACCCTACAGTCACCATATCAGTGGAGAACCATTATAGTTAGGGCTGCAGCCACTACCAGTCAGTCTTTATAGCCAAACTCAAGATGAAGGCAGCAAGCTGTCACTTTCCAAAGCACCTCATGCTACAAGAATACCTGCAAGTACCTGTTTAGTTCTTCTGAACATTGGCGATGGGCTGTTGGGACTACTAGCTTTTGAGGACAGTTTGTTATTTGGTGCTGTAAGAAATCCTTCAGGTCGCTCAAACAAATCTAGTTTTAACACTGGAAATCCATTATAGCTGTAAAAGAAGCACGTCACTTAAACTCCTGTAAGGCAGTTCCAAAGTAAACACGTCGCCTTATAGCAAATGAAATCAATTACACAGTTGCACTAGAAGCTACACAGGAAATAGAAAACAAAAGTAAACCTTTAAAGACACCATTGGCAAAGTGGTTTACTAATCCATCTGCATGATTTCATGAGCTTGCACAAACAGTCTCTTAACCTGTTATTTCAGTGTAAGCAACTTAAATTGATAAATACATTTGCTTTCATAGCAGTTTCTTTAATTAATGTGTCAAATGCATTAGTATTGATTCTACTCAATTAAAAAAATCTGCGTGTCTTAGTCCCTAGTGAGCATCACGTGACAGAGGTTTATAAAAATCAATATGAACAATATCAAACTAAGAGATTAAATTGTATTAGATTTTAAAATGTTTCTCAGAATTAATGAAGAAACCAATAGACAAGCTCATTTGACATAATTACTAAATTAGTAACACCAGTTTTCAGTGATTCTTTAAAATGTACTCTCTTTCCAAAGAGTATCTGCAGCTTGTATTGTTATCAGTAGTAGCAGCAGGCCATTAATGGACCGGGTCCATTAATTTCAATTTTAATGTTAAAAAGTGTTAACAGTTAGCACAATGTATTGCGAGCACACAGCCAGCTTTATTAAGTACTATTGCTCCTGTGTGTACACACACACACACACACACAATCATTAAAACTTCAAAAGAGCTGGCACACCAGGCATTTTACATGCATATTTTCACTTGAGCAACATAAAGGGACAGGAAAAATCTGTACTTCATGGCTATCACAAGAACCTAGAAACCAAACTCTACAAGGGCAGCTATTAGGATTTTGGCTAGCATCCTACTGTGTCCTTAGGTTACCTGTATTGTAGAGGGTGCTCTTCACCATTTGGCAGATGAGGGATCTCAGGTGGTGTTATGAAAACTGTATGCTCACTCTTGTATGACTCATCCAGCTCTATAAGTCGTGTTTCCCCAGTTTTGTCCATATCTACCTGGAGAAGTTATGTTAAAAGAAAAAGTAGTTCCTAGTGTTATTGTATTTTGTGCTGTTAAAGCTATATGGTCAAGCAGGGCAAAGTCTGTATCAGCATCAAAGGATTGCATCTTAAAAGTAAGGATGCCTTGCAAAGTTATAATGAGGATAGTAAGTGTTGCATTGTTTTTGTAACCTTTACCCCAACACAATAATCAATGTTTAACGATATACTCCGAATTGACTGTCTTCCTGCATACAACCATTTCTGGAACTATGTTTCCAACTGCAGCAGTAACTTGAAATTTATTTTTAAATATGAAAATAGCAGCTTTTTTTTCCTCTTTGTTATTGTTTTCAGTGGTTAAAATACTTTATCCAATTGTGTGATGTATACAGCATCTACAAACAACACTATCCAGAAATTTCAGTCACTTACATAATCATTAAGGTCATGCTAGGTTGCAGAGATTGCAGAAATACACATGCATTCAAAGAGATGATGTAATAAAAACATGTGACTTTACTAAAATTAAAGGGGGATAGAAGTAACTTTGTTTTTCTTTAAAAAAACCAAACCAACCAGTAATCTGAAAGGTGAAGGGTAGCTTCATGATTTTTTTCTCTTTCAGATAACTCAACAGTTGTATATGTGAAAATACAGCACATACTGGGTGGTCCTGTCCTCTCATAGCTAGGATAGGAATTCAGTTCATGGATAAACAGAGGCAACTTGTAATAATACTATAATTAAGCATACGTTACAGCTGCACCTGTTTTGTTTTGTTTTCAGCTTTGTAACTGGCAATTTGACCATAAATTTTTGCTTTGCTAGCCTGGCTGTTGCAGAGAGGAGGAGAAATTTGCACTTCCCAAATTAATGCCCCTGCTTTAAAGACAGCAGCAGAGACATACTCCAAAGGCTCCAGACAAATTTCAAAGCATCAAACTGCAGAATCAAGTGGGAGAAAACTGTCCAACAAATTTACTGGAAGAATTTCATTCCATTGCTTGAGACAAAAAAAAATAAAGAACCAAAGCAAAACTCAGCCACCCCAAACAAGATTTTCGGAAACTATGAACTGTTTCCCTTTGAGAAAAAGAACAGACAAGCCTTTAACAATACTACAAGCTTCCTACTGTTACTGTTCACATTACAGAAACCACTAGGAACAAACAGAGCAAATATAACACGTATTACATTCCACCCGAGAGCCTTTACTTGATATTTGTACTGGTATTTTTATTGCTTTGTCTCTGATCTTCTGTCACCAGTTGCATCTCCTCCAATACCTCATAAGCACTGCTTCTGCTTGCGGGATGAGATGCATCTCCATCTCAGAGAGCTGGCACTATCAAAAACTATTTACTTTGTAGCACACAGAACATCCTTTTTATTCACATATTGATAGCCACAGCATTCAGCTCAAATACTGTCAACAGTTTACATTTATAGCCATTATTTAAATGGCTTAAGTGGCAACCAAATTACAGCCAAATGGTACATTATTTCAAAGAAATGAATAAGCAACCTGTGGAACCCAAGGATGCATATTCTTCATGCCTTAAGAGTTTAGCAACAGAGAATTAATGTACAAAAAGAAGCATATGCCACAGTTCTCTCCCTCCAGTGAGGTGGAAACATATCAAGTAGTTTCAGTAGAATTCCTGAATATTTAAAATTTGATAAACATACAAAGAGGGTGTTCTTAATTCCACATTTTATGGCATAAGACAGATGGAAAGTATTAGCAAATCGAACCAGACAAGTAGCAAGAATATATGGCTCCTGAAAAGTAGAGATAAACAAAACCTTACTTGGCAATTTAAATACTTCTAAGGACGTAAAAAACCCCACAGTTACAAGTTTCACCAGTGAAATACAATAAAGCCAGTAGCTTACATATGTATTGAATTGAGATAATTTTTGAATTCCTGGAAAAATGAAAACTTGCAAGACAATTGCACCGTATCTTTCAGTAGACACAATGGGTAATCAATTACAATCTCTGCTGCTGCTGCCTAGGATAAAATAACATGTAGAAGAGGTTACTCTTCAGCTTAAACTATTCTTACAAATTATTTGAGGCAAGACTTAGATTATATTTTATAGATAACTAATTTCACAGTACATAAAATTTGTCTCAACCCAGTGGCCTATAACTACCCATAAGAAAGTGTTGTATCATCTTTCAACCCATGACATCACTCTTTCATGCATACCCTTTCAGGTACTGGGTTCACCTAGTGAAAGACATTAATATATATATAAATAAATATTCACTTTATTGGAATCATTCAAATTTGATATCTGGTCAAAGTAGAGCCTCTTGGCTAAAGCTCTAGTTTGTATAGCAGTCCTTGGTATACTTCAATATTTTGACTTTGTACATTACTGTTAAGCTTAACATCAGAAATACCAGAAATCAAGAAAGAAAAGCAGAACAAAGAAGATGAGGCAAATATATCATTGTTCAAAGAAATCCTACATGGGAATGCACTCCCTCATGTCAATGCAAACCTAGTTTCACAAGCAATTCTAAAGCCATGGCAAATCTTAAACACATAGTAATTCCAGTGCCTCAGTTTCCCCACAATTATCACTGGCATAGAAGTAGTCGTCCCATTTAATAAAACTTAACAAAATCCTCACTGACAGAAGTAGAAGTTGGAGAAGTACAAGTGTTTTCTGTAAAATTTATTCTCATGGCACTGTCATGAGCATTTTTTGGAAGTGGAAAGAAAGCTGCCTACGGCATCAACTAGCAAAATAACTGGCATTAAAACAGATGAGTGTTTCAGCTGTACGAGTGGCTACTTAACCTTTTAGAAAAGGTGAAAGCTCCAACAGCTCCACAGATTACGTGCAGGCTCACAGTAGCATCACCAACCTAAGTACAACTTTTTTTGGAAGAACTGTTTGAACTCCCAGGAAAGATAACTTTAGCTAGGGCATCAACTTCAGTGCCCTCCTAAACCATCCTATAAAATGGAATATAACAGGTAGAATTTGACACTTACATAGTCATCACATTCGGAATAAAAATCCTATTTAACATTAGTCAGAGAACTAACCTGCAACACAATGAAAACTAAGTACTGCTCAATAGTGTTTAGTCACTGGGGTACGTATATTCCTGTCTATGAGACCTCCCATTTTTAAAGATTAACTGGCATACAGCAAAGCAAGCGCTACATGTTGAAGGCTTTTTAACTGAACTATAGGATAATCGAGTGAACATTATGGAAATGTTTGTAATTAAATCAATTCACAACCCACGAATACCTGCAACTCATGCTGTAGAACTGTGAAACACACTTTTGAGAACTATCAGTAATAAAATATTGAGACTAGCAAAAGCTATAAAGAGCATTAAATACCATTAGACCATGCTTTTATATTTCTCTCAAACTTAAACTTAACTGCTTTCAGATTTGTTTTCAAAACAACTCCTTTTAGCTCTTCTGCACTTTCATAGCAAAAATAGCCATAAATAGAAACTGTAAATAGCAGTTTTCATAGCCTTCAGTATTAATTCCTGTGGAACAAACAGCAGGTGACCTACTTTACAGGAAATCCTAGACAACTGTACATTACTTAAATATCAGTGTCCCAGAATAGAGTGCTACAGGTAGCCAGTAAGATGACAAGTAGGTGTGGAATTTCTTATAATAGTCATAAAAATTTCTTTCATGTTACAATAGAAGCAAACAGGGATATAAGATTGTGGGTTTCAGTTCAGTTCTTCTGAAAACAAAAACTAATGCAAAAAAAATTTCAAGCAGCCTCAAGACACTTTTGTAGACCCTCTTTGGAAATACAATGAATTTTCAAAAGCTAATATACCTGTACTTTTTAGTAAATTAGTTCTTCACAGTGCTCAACAACACTATACTAATGTGGACCTTTCTTATAAATATCTTAGGAGTTTTAAAAAATCTGAGTGACACTTCCACAGAAGACTAAAAAAGAAAGCCACTTTGAACTGGGAAATCCAACATTCCGTGAGCTCCAGTCCAGCAGAAGTTCTAAGCTTATTTCAAGAAAAACACCAGTTGTGATCATGTCGCACTTTCACACTCCTTGTCACATAATCCTTAACAATTGCTTTTCCTTCTCATTACAAACGAGAAAATAGCATAGCAACAGATAACAAGGTATTCCTTTACTGCAACACAAACACAACAGTAGAGTAACAGAACCCACAAAAATGTCAGCTTACACAAAGCTTATATGTGACACACCATAATAAGTCTTGCTTACTTTAAGAAACCCATACATTTCATATCCATCAGTATTTGATGACAAGGTCATTAGAAAATATTCTTATCCAAGAGAAGAATATCAATACAAGCACTATATTTAAAATATTTACATCAGCAAGCTGGTTTTGAATTGGGGGAAGCAAGTGACAGCAGTATGAATGAAAGGAGAGTTGATACAGATTAATTTTAATTATTTACTTCTAGTACAAGCCTTCTAAAGATTCTCTAAGAATAACTAGAGAATTACTATTAGAAAGAAGCGGCCAGCACATCGTTTAAAAAAGGTCCAGGAACCTTCTATTTATAATGATTAAAAAAAAAGTGAGTCTGCCTTATATCTTTTAGTGTGCTGCTCATCAACCCCATTCCTAAATGGCTGCATGAAATATTACACAATCTATAAAAATGCTTGCAGTTTTATCTAAGGAATGTAGTTCTCTGATAAAGAAGCTCAAAGTTGCTACTTTACAGTCAGAATATTACACTTCTTACTATGGGCCAGTATTTCAGAAGCTTACATACATGTGAGAACAAATCAGAAGTGCTAATTTTCACAATATTCTATTTACACTTTCTCAAGAATTTGAAGCAGAAAATGAAACAAAGCCCAACAAAAAAGGAAAACAGAAGGCTCCAGTGACTAGAAAAAAAGTAAAAGAAAAAAATAGAAATAAACTTGCACTTTATACATATTATATTTTGTATATAATATATATTTTTATGTATTATATATATTCTGCTTGTACTATATTACATAACGTAAGCAACAGCAGAAGTTAAAACTATATGCGTATGAAGACATGCTTACTTTATCTACGCAGTCATCAAAAAATGCAAGGCTTGCATCCTTATCACTGACAAAAGAACACTCCTCAATGAAGCGAATAAACATTTGAGTTTTGGTCATCAGTGTGTAGAACTTCTGATGTGAACGATCTCGACTTTTGAGGAAACCTATAAAGTGAAGTCAGAAGGATATAAGAATGCCTAAAACAAAAAAGCCCTCACCAAAAGTCAGCATACATTCTACTAACGAGCAATAACCTTTCTGTAATCTTTGCCACTACTATGCAATTTTTTCTTCACTTACATTTCTACCATCATTCACAACACTAACACTGCAAATGTTTTTATTCTTTAAATAAGAGAGAATTTAAAATGATAAATTAATATACATAAGACAAGTTTATGACTCTTCACCTTGTAGTTCAAAGAGAGAACTTGCATCTGTGGCTGTTTCAGAGGGTGCCTCTGTTATTGGCCTGAGATAAGACCTGTAACCTTTTAGTATTGAGGCCATGAAACACAGGAATGCTTCCTGGATCTCCAAATCTAACAGGTGCAATTTCTTCCCAGAATTAAAATCGTAGTCATTCATTGCTAATTCCATTAATGCATCTTCTCTTGGTCTCTGTTGCACTGTGAACAAAATCAACATAACAACGTTTCACATAATTTTTTTTCCAATATTGGTAAAAAAATTTCTCTTTATCCTACTAGATTCACTGATTACTGAGCTCCATTAAGTTTGGAACAGATTAATATATGCGATTAAATTCAGTCATGACATGCGACAATGGATTCAGCTTGACCTTATACAACTCGTGTATCTCTGGATAATACCAAAAGCAAGATACATTTACATTTTCAGCACATTAGTTACTACAGCAGAGAGAACTAGCATGGACAGAGCTTAAAAAAAACCCTCAAAGAAAGCTGTTTATAAAAAAGTGAAAATTTATACAAGAGCTGATTAAAGAAGCATATTTTAGAGACAAACACATAGATGGGATGTGTGTATTACTTTTTTTTTATAGTGCCTTTCATTTCAAAGTGTTCCCAAAAAACAGACTATACATATTAAGTACCTGTATACACCACTCAGATGCAAGTGGACCCATCAAAACACAACACAATGCAAAACACTGATACAGAGAGAAAGCAGGCATTTTTTTAAAAGATCTAGCAAAATCCCTATTCTTAAAGAGATACTTGTATCAACATTTTAAAGCCATCAGAACTCTAGCTACGACTTCACTGCTACACACACAAAGTCTGGTAACATTTTAATAATGTCTCAAAAAAGTGAAAGGATGGTTTCATTACTGTCTTTCCACATAATATAATTATAGCCAACCTTATATTGATATCATGTTAAATTCTTATTACAGAGTAAATAGCTTAAAGATCAGTACCACTCTTTTTATAGAGTATGGAGAACATAAGGTTTAAAAAATTTTCTAAAGAAATCCTCACAGCAAAATATATCAAAATTTTGAAGCAACAGACAATTTATCACCTATCCACTATACACTTTTTTTTGCGCAGCATACACCAATAAAATTCTGTTTCTATACATTCTAATTTGGATACAATTAAATTCTAGTGACCTCACTAGCCAAGAAGGTGTAAACAGCCTTTAAAAAAAAAAGTGCCTTAAATCCAGGTGACAATTACAATGATCTCATGCAATATGCTTTCCAGGTATATATTTCTCAAACATGCAATGTTGATCAACCCCATCCTTTTCATACTCTGATTTAAGTCTTAACCACTTGCTGTCTCTGCCACAGCAACTTGATTTTACAATTGCATTATTGCTCCTTAAGGCTCCCTCCAATGTCTATGGAAATCATCTTCTAAGCAGACAGGTAACGTCAGAGTGCTGACGGACTTCCTTCCCACTTCTCAAAGCCCATTAGCTATGAAGCCCAAGCACATCAGCTGGCCTTGACTACATTTATATTTCCAAATATTTTGTTTTAAAGAATTTGACTAACATCATCCCTATCCATTTTTCTGCTTTCTCACATCAAGGTTCAATATACCTTGCTCTGCAATATTTGAGGATTCTATCAACAACCATTTTTTTCTTACAAACGTCCAGTAATTGTGCTATACATTTTAAAACCCCCTATGTTTATAAAACATTTGTTATTTCCATCTTAAAATTTTAGGTAAGGTACTAGCAGCTTGAGTGTCAAAGTTATCTCAATTGTCAAGACATGAGCAGACTTGAGCAGGCTTTGAAGACAAAACAAAGGTCTTTATTAGGTCCTGGCCTACTCTTTGCTTTACTATTCCCTTCTCATAAAAGCTCTGCATTTTTTTTGGTACAAGGATAACATCAATACAAAGGGCTACCTATTGAGCACTGCCTTATATATATGGAAGTCTCCTCCACCTCAAAAGCCCCTACATGGGTTCTAATCTCTGGACTTAAAGCACGGATTTTCCTGTTCTGTATGAAAACATTATGTTTAGTGTAATGGGTGACTTAAGAACATGTTTAATTAACTATATTTATCTGTTAATGTGGCACACTATACCAAATGTAAATCTTACTATGTACTTTCCCACTCACATTCTGCCAGTTGCTGATACAAATTACTTAAAGTGTTCATCAGATTTTTACAAGGTTTCTTTGGTAAGATCTTCCAAGCAATAGCTTTCTTATCTCCCGTTCTGGAAGGAAAAAAAAAAGTATGAGTATACACTGGAATATGTGTGTATATAGGACTATATTCCAAGATTTTTCTACCCCACCAGAGAAATGGGAGAACAAATACAATTTGCTCCATTAAAACAGGACTGAGAAGGATTGAAAACCAACCAACCAAGTCAAACTTGATTTACTATATGGAGATTTGATCACAGCCATCCAACCAATGCCCCATGTTTCAGGATGATTACGCAGCCACACTCTTTAGCACTGAAATCAATCCACTTAGAACTCATGAAAGACGAATTAATAGTGTGCCATTGCACAAGCAACCACCACACATGCTCTGTTCTGAGCTGTAATTACCTAAACTAGGATGGAGATAATGACTAGAATGCTCATAGTAACCTGAAATCCATTTGATATGACAACTGCTCTGTGTTTAGTGCATATAGATTTGGACTTAACTATATCATTATCATGATGAAAACAATTACAACATTCTTTGTCAACAGAGGGCACCAGCAAGCCTCAAGACACTATTGGTCACATCGTTGCAAGAGTTGTAAGCGTTTGACACTTTTTTTCCATACGATGAAATGGAATTAATCTGTTTGAGAAAATACATAGAAAATCAGCTAAAAGTAGAATGAAAACAGAGATAATTGGAAATAACTTATTTCCATTAATGAATATGTAGCTAATTAGAAAAATACCAGAAGACATGCACAAACATATTCCTCAACTTCGGTTTTGGTTTTGTTACTTTTTGCTTATCGCAGCCTAGTTTGAACTAGTTCATAAAAACTTCAGAGCAGAATTGCTGTACAAACTTGGTATCAGCATAAAATCCTTAGCAAAAGTTTCTATTTACAAATACTTAATATATGCAACCTTCTCTAAAGCCACACACAACTACTGAAGGAAAAATAAATGCACAAATAAGAAAATTTAGGAAAAAAATAGTTTAGTTAGGCATAGTAATGCTGAAAGACTGCTACCAACAGGATGATACAAAAGAACACTGACCAAAGACTTTGAGAAGTTACACTAAGTATATACTGAGTATATTAAACATTACACTGAAATAAAAGTTTAATTCCGAAATACAAGTTTAATTAATTCTGTATGTTTTATAATCTTGAATTAGAAGCCTTACCCTCTTCTGTTTTTGTATCACATCATCACAAGGAAACAAACAGTTCTTTGTTTTGAATATCATAACAATATGGACTGCTTCCCAATGGTTTTAACAGTGCACTACTGTCCCTTACTAGTATTTTAGATACTAGATATTAGTATTACAGAAAAACATAGTACTCTATACAGTTCTGAAAGAGAAATATAATACTGCTATTTCAGTTTGTTAATGATGGCATGATTCTAAGTCTTAATTAAGACTCTCTCACCCTTGAAAGTTCACATCTCTAATTCTCAACATGAAGTTCCTATACTTCATATTGATATGAAGTATGATTTAATTGTTATAATTTTCAAGTAGATGCCCATATGAAGATACTAGAATTTCTTCAACACTAAGAAAGCTGATCATGAAAAATGGAAGTGACTGTTCTCCAGGGACAATGAAGTGAGACACAGTATGGCTAATCCAGGAAACGTGCCAACGTGTGCCATAAGATTTTAACGTAATGGAATAAAAGGCAATAATGTTCTATGAGGATTTGTACCTCCGCCCTGTTGTGTTGAACAGGAGATACCATTTCTAGCACGCTCATTTCAGAGAGGATGATACATTAGAAAGTTCAGAGGTTTAAAACAAACAACCCCCCCAAAGTTTTGCCAAAAAGCTAGTTTTTGCCTTTGAAAACAGGAAGCAAAAAAAAAAAAAACACAGAAGAAAAATTGTTAATAAATACTTACTGAGAAATTGTATTGGTATCTAGGTCAACACAGCTAACGTCTGGTGGAGGGTCATAGATATCAAAATATCTTGAATCAATTCCCACTATGAATGGGCATGGTGCACTTAACACATCTGCCAGTGCCAAGGGACACAGAGGAATATATGGGCAAGGCCAGTGGAAGGGAAATATCATCTTTGAAAATACATGGAGACAAAACCATAGGTTAAACACATATAATAATATAGTCTATGCAAGTATAAACCACACTTCACTAACTGCCACTTCAAAATTATTTAACGTGACAGATAATTATTACTGAAAGTCGAGATGCAGATTATTAAATAAAAGATGCACTGATTTCTCTAAAATTCAAATTTGCAGGAAAAAGCTCTTCAGCATAATAGACTGTATATAGCAGAGGTAGCAAAACAATGCTTAGTGAAGACAGGCAGGAAAATAACATGCATTTAAAATTCTGCAAGAGAGAATACAGTGCTATTTGGGAAAATCAGGAACTCTTATTTAGTGCATTGTGATGACCAAACAACACACTTATTTACACACAAAGAACCAACAACAGTTACTCTTTCTCTTCTGTCTTCATGGGATATCATTAGCAACATCAATTTTTCTCTCTAATGATCTTTATTTTTCTTATTTTTAAGTAACATCTAAGCCTAACAGCACTACTACTAATTTTAGATTTTATCTAAAAAACATTTTTTTCCACTTACAGATGTATAATTAAAAAAACCATTACTTACAGAGACTAATGCCTCTGTCACACTAGTAAGGACAGAAGGTCGCAATGAATGGATGAGAATTTTATGTTCCGTCACAGCAAAAACAAGTAGAGTTACTGCATTTTCAGGTCCTAAATTCTGAAGTAGTGTAGAAAACTTGCCCCCACTGTTACAGAATATAAACACACTGATGAGTTACAACCATAAAAAAATGTTCAATAACAAAACAGAAAACAAGGCATTAGAGTACGATTTTATAAACGTAAATCTGCAAATCTTTCTTTTAAAGAAGATTGCGAGGCAGACTACTCGGTACACTTCACTGTTCAGTGAAGAATGGTTACTTCCCAATAGTAACCATGGTTCCTTGAGACTCTTCAATCAGTCTAGACTATTTTCAGGATACGTGCATGATGATTTTTCTTTTTGAGAAGCAATTTACAGAGAGACAACATGCGTTTCTTTAATCATTCTCCTGCACTGAGACACAAAAGTTAAGACAGTCACAGAACTTCTTCAGTTACTACCTTGCAATACAAAAGCTGCACTATCTTGGGAGACCAGGTACCAAATCCTAGAAAGGGGATCTAACAATCTATATTCTGCCTCAAGAACCACTAAAATTATTTGAGAAAACACAGATATTGTTCATTAAGTATGTATCCTTGTCAGGGCGCAGGTCTAATCACGTAAATAAATTTCAGATACACTAGCTACAAAAGGCACCAGACAAGGTAAGTTAATTTGCACAATTACAACTCAAAGTACCAAATCTTTTCCACAATGTAAATCAGAATACATTTCACAATGTGAAGATACTGCTACTTGCCTCAGTGGAAGGGGTGATGACACAGGTTGGCTAAGAATCAGGTTATCATGTGGAGATAGCTGAAAAAAGATTTTAAAATACATTCTTTTTATTCTGAACTTTGGAAATATTTATTAGAAATTACACAAAGAACACCTAAAAATAAAATTTAAGCCAAGTTGAACCTTACATATCCCAGTTGTAGAGCACTGTAAGAAGTGGTATGCAATGCTACGCATCAGTATCTTTTAGTAAAAGCCAGGCAAAACACGATCTTCCTTTCTTGGTCAGAATTGAATACATCGCATATTCATAAAGAGGAATTTAACCTAGCTAATCCTTCAAAAAATTGAACATATTAACTGCTGAAAAAGGAAGCCTTCTGTATTTTAAGGGAAGTGAGGACCTATAGTTCACACACAGCTTTCAGGGGCCGGGCAGGATTCTTTTTGGATTTAGGGGGAAAGAGATGGGTAAAATGCATGAAGGGGAACGATGGCAGATCGTAATGTAAAGTAATATTTTCTTTGGAAGACATGAGAATTAGGCTCTTAGCTGGTAGAAACGGCTCCAAATTTGCATTAGTTGACAATCCACAACAAAGATCTTAATTCGTATTTTTTTCTTACAGTGAGATGACATCAGGAGAAATCATTCATATATTCAGCATGAATAGGATTCAAATGAGTACAAGAATACAGATACACAATCAATTTATCAAAGCTCAAGTGATGTTTTCAGCCATAGTAAACCCAAGGTAACAAGATACCAGTTAGCTTGATCCTCTCTGCTAAGTGGTCGTGCATTTTCTATCTATTGTATAAAAGCACACATACGAGTAGCAATAGTAATTCAGTAAGTCACAGTAACTCGTACAACTAAGCTGCAAGTTCAGACAACTTTTAGTAACATTTCATTTTTGAGTATGTTTCACTTTAGACCCCACCACATATGACCAGACAATAGAAGTTAGAAGATCAGATGAATTAGTAATACAAATGCTGAAGCACTAAGTCACCCAACACTGTGCCTGGACAGACACGCAAAACATAGGACATTAACAGGAGTCTATGCAATACTGGTTCCTTGCATATTTCACATAACAGAGCTTTTGAAGGCTGATGATACATTTAGCTTCAGTGACAAATGAGGATGGCCACACCACTCTACATGCTAGATTTGTCTTCAAGTAAGTCACCTTGTGACAACCACCACCATTAGCTTGTTCAGTGAAAGAATTCAGACACTTCATTTTTTCAGCCTGAGGTAACCTTCATAAACTACCCTCAGAAAGGAAGCATTGGCCTAATGTCCTATGACTTTTGTGTTTCAGCAAAAGCAGATAAACACAATCAAGCATCTATTCAAAGAGCATGTCTCCCTTAGGCAGAAGGGGCACTTACTGCCCCCGTTCTTCAGAGGGAGAAACATATTACTCGATGTGCTCTTGAAGTTTGCAGGTTGTGAATACATCATTAGAACAGGAACATCTGTGTAGTAAGGGGATGGTAGGACATGGAGAATGAAGTTTAGCAGATTTTAGATCAGAAACAACCCATCAACAATGGCAGCTGGAAACTGGCTATCGGGAACATTTCTGAATGTTTTACTAGTGGCTATAATTTCTTTGAAACTTAAAAGTCAGACACATGCCGTGTTCTCTCTCACTTGTAACAGATGCTAAGAAGGATCTAAGAATGGGTTACACATCCAGACTGGCATACATGTGGTTACTAAAATATATCAGGTCTCATTTTCAGAAAGCATATAGGCACTTGCGAGACATTCTACAGCAACACATATTCAGAAGGATTTGCTATACTAATTATTTAGCAAAAGACTACCATGTCATATATTCAGCATATTCAAATGAATATGCATGTTTTACATTAACAAGCTTCAGAGAGAAATTACTATTTCTTCAATGAAATGGAATCCTAAAAGCTTGTAATTTTCAAGAATACAGGCATTTCTCCCTCTATTTTTGGGAAAACATCTTAGATACAGTCACCTGTGATTTTATTCAGTGCAGTATCAAAGACAACTCAAAAGACCCTGAAAGCAGCGTGAAGGAAGTACTTATTTGTAGACCTCAACAACCATTGCTTACTTTAAAAGCAGCGTGTTCTCCATCTGTACTATCAGCTACTAAAGTTGTACTAACTTGACACATACAGCATTTTGAAAATAAGGTGTAACAGACAATTTCACATCACTTACATCTAGGTCCTCAGACTTTGTTCCGGGATATACACCCATGCATACTTTGACAGAGCTCCCTAAAAATTCAGACTAAAAAGATTAAATGTTTTTCTCTAAACTCACTTACAGTTCTCTGTAAATGTGTTTAGTGTTCCCTAGCACAAATATTTTATTGAATGTGAATACAAAAGAAAATCCCAAGATGTAAAAATATTGGGTTTTGAATTGAACTTTAAAATCATAATACAAGTGACAGAAGTGTCAGATACAGTTTCAGTATAACTATTCTCCAATGTCACTTCTTCAGAATATCCAAGTACATTAAGGAGGATCTTTAATATTCAATACATTCTATAAAGACATAACCCAAGATTGTATTTACTCTGAAAGACTTCACTAGCATATGGGCTACTACATTAAGACTGAAAACTGCACAGGGCTCTCTATATTTTATTTCATACAAGAAGTAAGAGTAACATCACTTTGTAACAACTTATTCAAAACGACAGGATTGGTAGAATAACTACAACCGGAACAGAGATGTCTTTTCTCAGCAATTAAACCGCTCTACCCTTTTTTCCTCTTAGGAGGGGAAAAAAAAAAAAAAAAAAGGAGACGACTTAATAATACTTCACTTAAGAAGTCTTTGAGATAGGGATTTCCTCTCCTACCAACAGTGACATGGGTGAAGTTTCAAATAACAGGTAACCTAATCCTAGCAATTATATCATTTCACTCACACACAGTAAGATATGCTAGGTCTTGCAGGTAGGACAGAATAAGGGTCATAATTGATAAAGTGTCCCTCTGTTGAACGTGCGTGGCTCCTGAAGTTTTCAGTAAGAGCTATCCATTATGTAGAGGACAGCATGATGCCCTTTGGGAAAACAGGTAATCATTAATATACTCTTCACATCTGGTTTTAATTATATTTATTTAACACTCAGCCTTCATACAGTAGCAAGAGGAAAACAGTTCAAAAGCTATTGTAAAAATCAAACCAGATGCCAACTTTGAGTAGTTTTTCCACTAATTTCCATGTATTCTGAAAAAAAAAAAATTAAGTTCTAAGCTCACTAAACAGTATCTTATATCTCGTTAAAGTCCTTAACTAAACTGGAAACAACAGTGAGAAATCTGTAAAAATTAAGTGTATGAATTCAGGAAAAATATCCTGAACAAAAAGAATTTGAACATAAAAATTACATTTTCCATTTAGTAACCTGTTCAACAGCTGTTTTGTCTTCACTTAAGACATAGCTATTAAGAAGAAATTTACACTTACCTGAACTAGAATTCTTGGCCTCTGAGGGGATGGAAAAGGAACTTTGTGCATGAAATGGGAAATGTGTCTAGAAGAAAAGAAAAATACTGATTTAGTAGAAATTATGATCTTAAACTGCTTTACCTCAAGACAAAATTATTGCCAGTAAGACAAATTATTATATAAAAATGGCACATACTTATTCAGAAGACAGAGAGCAAAAAAACCAGCCCCTAAATCCTATGGGAATATTCTGACCTTGAAAACCTATTTTTCTACTAGTGACAACCAAAATGGCAGGCCAGATTATCCTTCAGACTACAAGCTTGGTTTGTGAGACTGAGAAATTACAAGGAGCCTTTTTTTATTTAAAAAAAAAATTGTAAAGTAGAAATATTGATGTTTGAGCATAACAATACCATTTTACAATCCTGCTTCTGAGACTGGCTTGAAATAGCACTATACCTCAGAGACTAGCACTGGTTATTTGCAAAAAAAATATTCACAGCTGAGTATCAAGGAGAGTCATTAAGTTCATCCGTTTTCTTCACTTCCAAATACAAAATGTTATGAAAGATTTCTGATTAAAAAAGTGTTAAAGTTTTTCCATATACTACAAATACAGAAAAATGTTTTTAAAATTTGAGTAAGTTCTCAGTTTTATAAATTGATTAAACTTACAAAAGTTCTAAAAGTGTAGGAGTTCTACATAATACACACTTTCACATTAAAAGAAACTACACACAATCAGTAGAAACTCAGGAAGAAACAGGTAATCCGTAACTGCATGCTACAGTACATACTTTACTGTGATTTCTGCAACTTTTACCATTATTCTGGCGCAGAAAACAACCAAATTTTGAAGAAATTCAGAGAAACCCACAAATAAGTGTTGATTTCTATAGAAGACTCATTTTACATGTTTCTGATTCAAAGCTATATATTTCATACTCATGCCTCAACGTATATCTCAATAATCTCAATATTACGCCGTTAGATGTATGGAAGAAAAAAACAACACACTTTTACTGTGTTCTTAATTTTGTGTACTTGTGCTAGGGTTAAACTTTTTGTTGCGGTTCTATAATCACATAACTGGCATTAACCAGAAGCAGTCTTGGGCCTCCTTCTTCACCACTCCCCAGCTGACCTCCCTTGTGTCAGCATCAATGTCTGTGCACCCACATGGCAATGAGAACAGGAAAGGAATCAGGCTGACAACGGATTTGGGGTTTTGTCTTTATTACCAGTGTATGAAGATGGTGGCAGAAATATGGAACAAAAAGCAAACATCAAAGGAAATGCCTGCTGCTTGCAGAAGTAGGGCTGACTGAAAATGTTCAAATACACATGTATGGCACAGACAACCTTCATCATCATTAGAATAGCCAAAGAAACTAGGCTAGATACTATATTAACTTCATGCAAGACAGCGTAGCTATATTTAAGCTATCCACAGTAAATTGACTAGTCAGTTTACAAATCAGAGAAATCAGAATAAGCAAAGAAATCTGTAAAATCAAAACTATTAAACCATTTATTATATTTACTTCTCATTTTATTCATTCCTGAAAGTAAAAAACCAAAAATAGTTCTCAGCTTAAAAAAAAACACAAAGAAAACTCTTTTCATTATTGGAAGTTTATGCTATCAGAATTTTAAAAGAAGTATAGTAGATACAAAGTAGAATAACGAAGTGGATAAACAATCACAAAAAAAGCTTAATCCACTAAGTCAAAGTCTCATAAAACTTAATATTGAAGTTTAATCAGAAAAAAGACTGATGTGTAATAAAATAAAAAAAGCAAATACTGCATCTGAAATCTAATGCATTAGAAAGTTACATTAGCCTAGAAATGTTAAACGGTATTACATATCAATTAGATACCAACCACTTCTTGGATGTAAGGATTTCCTCTGCATTTTAAAACGTGAAGTCCTTTACGTAAGAAGGAAATTAAGTTTATTTATCACAACTAGAGGAGAATTACTAGTGCAAAAAGTTCGATCTGCTTTATTATCTCTCATTACACAACAAATAGGTGACTGAGAAAAAAATGCAAAACTACATATTTCATTCTCCTAACTTAACGTATGCAACATTAAGAAAGGCTTTATAATCTTGCTCCTCCTAATGACTATGCTAAAGGGCACAAAGCTAATTAAAAAAGGCTTTCAGATAAACCTTTGCAGGCACTTAAATCACAAATAAAAATCTAGGGTTTTTCAGGAAGTAGGTAAAGGTACATTTAAGCAATGGAGAAAAGTGCTTACTCTAGTGTAACCATTATATTTAATGTTTGATGACTAAAGTCAAAAGGATATTATAGGAAACTTAGAAGTACAAAAAGAGCTCTCATGAACTGAAATTACTGTTATGAATTTTTGAAATTACTTACTTCTCAATGGGTAGGACATGCGGACCAGAAATGGAGTAACGATACAGAAAGGTAAGAAACTTCTTGAAAGCATCGAAGAAAGGCCAGTGAGAGAGCAGACAGATGCATTTATTTGTTTGAACTGTTCTGCATGTCTCTGACTTTCCCTCAACAGCAGCTGCTAATCCCAGTTGAGATTTTTGTTTCTCTGTGAGATTCTCTTCAGGATACAGTTCATAAAACTGAATAGCAGCACCATATACCTGCAAACAACACAATTGATTTGAAGTCAAAAAATCTGCCTCAATCTTCAAAGCAATCTAACAAACCCCAAACACGCAAGGAAAATCAAGTCTACATTACTGTTTGAAAAGTTACATTGATGCACCATCTTTTGAAGCAATCTATTCAGGAATATTCTTATGGCTGTGAAAATCCAGACTGTCTATTATTTATTTAAAACACTTAATGTCATATGAGAAAGAGTAATTTATGAAACGATTTAAGTGAGAGAAAAAATAATGATTATACAGAGTACAACTACAGTGAACTGCTCCTACAATTGCCTTTAAATCTATTTTAGGAATCCTTTATAAGCAACTCAAAGCAGTATTCCTCTGACATCCAATTTACTTTGTAGAACAAGTATATACATGCAAGGTTGTTTCCATGCTTGCAATGAAATTAGTGTATTTGCATGTATATGCAGTCAGAATTTTTATAGCTCTGTACTTTCAAAGGCTAACATGATTGGAAAGCAAAGGAGTACAGGTTTATATGATCAACAGTCCAGCAGTTAAATAAATGCAAGTCACTCTTTAAAGTAGTCTTTGAATTAAGCCCAAACAAATAGATTCAAGTTTGTCAATGAAAATATGCATTATCATCATCCTGAAAAGACAGACAATCAAGTTTTTTAACTTATATTATTAACAATGGTTTTGTGTGGGTTTTTTTAAGCTTTCAAAATACCTTTTCTGCAGAAGCGCCAGTTAGTACAAATGTAGAAAAAACTGGGAGGGGGTATTTACTGTTAGATGGCCAACATTCAATCGTTGCACCCATAGGTAGACAAAAAAGAGGCACAGATTCTGGTAATGGGAATGATTCATAATCTTCTTCAGGATATCTGCATATTAAACCTATAAAGGCAATTTGTAAAGAGGCAGTTATGTAAGGAAGAGCAGAAACATTTCTAACAGCTCATTGCATAAAAACACGCCCAGAAAAACTGTATATGAGTATACACTAACTTCAGAAGATCAGTAAAGTTGTAAATAATCAGGCATAGCAAATAGCTGGAAAGGGGCAGCACGCTCCCAAGGCCTGAGGAGAAATCACCTGACTAAAACATCAGACTGAAGTCCTACTCACTGTTCTAGGAACTATTCATAACTAATTTATCTTTTTCTGTTTGCAGGTTGTGTGCATCTCAGCTATTATTATAATAGTTCACATTCATCACTAGTATGAGTAAAGATTCAAAATTTAGTTAAAAAAGTGGTAACCTGAATAATTGAGAAATAAGACTGATGCTTTCAATTATGAAAGCAATTAATTCTTGCCAATAAGTTTTCTGGAAAATCTGATATGTTAGATACTAGATAGATTTTTTTTTTAATATCAATAGAATTGAACCAATTAATTATGCTGATCCACCTCAGCTGAGGATTCGTCTAATGTGCTACCAGACTAATGTGTTTAGACTTAATTTTAACCATAGCTGTGAAACAGAGTTCTGAAGCAGAGACTCTTAACATACAGGTCTTCAATTACATCATATGGCTGTAGCAATCTATCCTTTCTTATTGCCAACCAAGGGGACTCCAAACTGAGAATGAATATTGTGTGAAGGGCTTTAGGATTTCTCTGCATTAGAGAACACAATCGCTACACATTCTTTTCTAATATACAGTGAAATATTAATAAGCAATAAACACTGGTAGTCGAGAAGGCAGTGTATTTTTTTCCCCTCCAAGAAGCAAAATTTTGTGCAAGCTACTACCAGATGTGGAGCCTTCTAAAATTATTTATCTACAAATTTGTTGTCCACCTTTTAGTTAGTCCTAAACTACTGTGTTTACAGAGAGCAGCATCTCAAAGGGATATAAGTGAATTAAAGCTTAAGTCTGAATCATGCTCATGACTTGCACTCAAACAAAATCAGGGGTTTAAAAAAAATAAAGAAAAGCCAACACATTTCATCAGAGCCATAGCAAATCTAATTCTGTCTTATAAATAAAACAACAAAATAAAGATGATACACAATCCAAAAATACTTAAAGAGCTCAATGCCACTGATGTTCAGGGCAGTGTGGAAGTCTGCAGTATTCTTCAAAGCACTTCTTAAAGAAAAAGTGAACATGAAAATGCATCAAATAATTTTTGCAGTGTTTTCTTCTGCATATATATACACACACACCCTTAAGAGACAGTTATCAGCAACAAAAACAGAGGTGGGAGACACGCAGGTTTGTAGGAACCTATCAAAACACAACTGAGCTTCCAATTAAAAGCAAATTTTAAAATAAAATGGTCATGATACATAATTCTAAGGCTTATTTTAGGACATTATTTTAAAAGAATCATTCAGAGAAAGATTCCTTTTTGGATAATGCCAAGACGGTGTCTTTGTCAAATAAGTCTTCGATAAAAAAAAAAATGTATTACATTACAAATAAGCCTGTACATCCTGAATTGAAGATTAAAAAAAGCTAAATAGTAGTTACATACCAGCTTTATATGATATGGTGTTGGTTTTTGCCACAGACTTTTTATAACATAAATATACTGCTGAGCCCCACTGTAAAACAAAATAAATTATTGGATTACGTGATGAAGTATAACAAAAGGACATAACAAAAGAGTGGAGGAAAACCTCCTCTTCCTTGTTTACAAAGAACCATAATCTACACACAAAAACATAGAGCATTCAGATATAGGAATTTTGGGCCTGCTACACTATGCTTTCTGACAACAGCCACAAACAGATAACTGAAAGAAAAAGTACTGTTTTAGCTCTGAGCTAGCCAATCCATGGCAGGCATCAGCCTGACCTCTAAAACAGAACTGATTTATAGATTGAAGCATGACATTTATAAATTCTTCTCCAAAACATTTGTTAACACAACTACAGAATTTTAAGTACAATTGTCATCCATATAAATATTTAAACCTTTCTCCATTTTGTTAAACTTCTGGCTTAAATGTGTATATAGACAGATATACATACATGCACACATTTATGTATATACACACACACAGTGAAATGTTTCTGTTATTAACTACGTTTGTGTATTACTTTAACTTAATACTTGATTTTCTTTTGTTCCTGCATTTTTATTTTAATCATGCTAATCTTTACGCTTGATTCCTTATTCAGTCTGTGATTTCATAGTCTGTGAAACACTGCAGCATAACTTCATAGTTCTTGCAGCTTCTAAACAACAATTTTCTTTCTGGCATTGTTAATGTTTTTAAATATTTTTGAAGTTCTCAATTTCTGGACATGAGAATAAAGAACATGGAAAGCCACAGAATGGAAAAGACCGGCACCCTTTAAAGGCCACACAAAGCTTTTAGGGATGGGAGAAAGATACAGCAATTTCTGTAAGACAGCATTCTCATAACCCAGTCAACACAGGGACTGGTAGAACTGAAAAATCCATTTGTTAATGTCTACAGGCATTTATTTAAAAACAAGTACAGATCAGTTTCCATGATCTTTTTTACACAATACTACTCACATATGCAGTCAGCATGCCGATAAGCATGCTGACCCTATATTTTTGAGGACCCTACAAAAGCAAGCCTACAGGGCTGCAGATTCAACTAGGAGACACCTAAATATTAAGTTCCGCAAAGCAAAGTGCTGTGACACCTGTGTGTTTTAGCAGACCTAGCTTTGGAACCATATTAAGCATTTAAACAGGCTTACAGTCAGCAGCATCCAACATTGCTTATATGCAACTTTCGTCAGAGAATAAGTTTGTGAAACTACTGAGGACAATGACATTTATAAAACAGCATTGTAGGTAATAGGGGAGTTTAAAAACAAAACAGAAGGCAGCTATTAGATACAGAATTCCCATCACAACAGTAAAATCAGTGTCAGAAACAGCCGCATCTGAAACCTCCAGTTATTCGCATGGTGACACAACAGGTTCTAAGGACTAATCCAAAGCTGCTGAAGTCAGCATTTCTAAGTCAGCACTAAAAAGACTATTTGCTCCAAGACTTCCAAAAAGACTTTGTTCCAAGCAGGAAAAAAGAAATTTAATCCTCCAGCTCTTCCAAGATCTGATTTATCTTTGGAGAGTGCTTATCAAAGTTTTTCACCAGGTACTCTGAGAACTGTCACAAATACTCCACAAACATTACATCATTGAATATCAAGTGCTCAAAATCCAGATTTTGAATCTTACCATACTATTATTAAGATTCTTGTCAACCTTGCAGAACGTATGTGGAGGGGTTTCTCCTTTACTTGGTATGATTATACATATATCCGTTACAGCCAACGTGTTTTGTGTCATGTTTTCGGATGCTCTTCGGTAAGTGATGTACACTCTTTGTGATGAGGCACTGCCACTAATATTAGCAGGCCGACCATATGGAGTAGTTTGAATTATTTCACAACCTTGCTTTACTCTTTCTTTCCCATCATATAAAACCCTAGTTAAAATGGGATGAACAGAAGTCAGAAGGCACATAATATTTTTAAACACTTTGAATACTAATACTATACTAAGAATTGTAACTGAATAGTACTATTTTAACAGCAGCTCTTGTCTCATCTCTGATCAAAACGTTTTTACTGACAAGTCCAGGTCCCATTATCTCAAATTGCATTCTAGCAGAAAAGCTTCATGATGAAACTATACTAGTTTTCCTCACATATAATTGCTTTTAAGTGTTTTGTTTACTGCAAAATAGTGTTATTTTCAATTCAATTAATTTCAATTAATTTGAATTCAAGATTCATTGCCTGATCCTAAGAATGTCATACAGCTCACCTCTTTTCAATCTGTATTAAATAGGTTAAGCATCTTATCTCAACCAAAATATACACATTGAAAATTATAAACAGCTTTGAAAACTCCAAAATGCAAAAGGATTACAGTTGTCACTAAAATCCACTCAGTATGCATTTTTCCTACCATACTGGGTTACAGTATGCTCAAGACAACAAGTATCTTCCTGTTTAGAGTTTTGCCTTATATTTTAAAAGTATTATATTTCAATAAACCTGCTTTATTTGCTCATTAGTCAAATAAAACTGCCAAAATCACTTACTAGAATAGAAAAACCACTCACCCCAGATCAGTAAGTGGGGGCTTATCCCTTCCTCGGCGATAACAAAGGTATATTTGCGGTCCTACAAGACTGCCATTATTGAGATCTGCAGACAGTCCTGAGGGAGTAACATCTATGCATTTATATCCCTGAGGAACTTCCTCTCCCAGAGATTTATTAATTACTGTTACGTCTGTAATAGGTTCTTTTGGTTTAGCAATTTTATGGCAAGCATCATTGAAGTGGATTTCTTCCTCTAGTGGTTTTGAAATATCTGTTAATCCTGCGACAACAAAGTAGTCAGCAACACGAGCCCCTTTGTCTTCCATCTTCCATTACAAGACGTTATAACTGGTAAGAAAGAAATATATATCAGTATTTTTAAAGGAAATTATAAGGTATCAGAAATAATGTTTATTTTTTAAAACAGAAAATTTGCAATAATATAAATGAAAACGCAATAGAAGAATACAAAAAAATAGAGAGATCCAGCATCAGATCACGTAACATTTTTCATTTGTAATCACCATCTTTCCAGTTTGGAATTCTGAGCCACAATCGTGAGAGTTATTTGTTAAATCTTGGAATGGAAAACCCAAGTGGGCTCTTTTTGCTAACTTACACACTGGAGTAGCTGAACCAACAGGAACAGTAACAGCAAAATACTGTGCAGAAGTTTTGCAGATAGTTCACTACTTAAAGCTCATGGCTGAGCCAAAAAGTAGTTCTCATGTTTTTTGCATATAGTTTATTACTGCACGCTATTCACCATGACAATGGATCTTCTAAGGCATGATCTGCAATTAATTTGCTTCCTGAATATTAAACATATACGCAAAGGCTGTCTTGATTATTCTGAAGATAGAACTATAATATTTGCAGCCATCTCACCCTATGGGATTTTACATCAGATACCAAGGCCAGATCTTCTTGGAATATTTTTCCAGGCTAAAAGTTGGTATCATTTTATTTTATAGTGTTTTGGCACCCAGATCCTTGATATGTAACCCATCCATAGCCAGCAATACACCAGCTTTTATACAAGACATTTAAACCAAGTCAACTTCAATGGACTGCAGACCACTGTGAAACAAAAACATTCAAGACCACATGAAGTTTTTCGTAATGAAAAGGAACAACAGCCTTGCTGTTCCAGCCAAATTGTGTTGGGAAATTACATTCTTTCTTCCTGGAACATATTGATAAAAAAGATTTTTTACATATGAATTCTTTCTGTATAGTGGGTTTTTTGCAGTGTTTGCTACCAATGTTGTAAATTAAATTCAGCACAGGACAAAGTAATATCTGTAGGATGAAAAGATGGCCTTGCAAACAATACAGTGCACTACGTATCAGGAGATTCAGTTTCCTCTTTGTCAGAGACTCTTGAATACCTTTGCAAGTCACTGAAACCCCATGTCTTATTTAATAGCTTGATTTTGCAGATAAAGAAAATACTTTCCGCTCTTTCACGGAACATTGAGAAATAGGCTAAAAATGTTTATCTAAGTCACCCATATGGGCTTGAACCTCACTAAAGTAGCTTCAGGAAGTTTACTATCATCAAGTTCCAGACTTTTTAAACCAGACAAGCTATTTAAGACTCCTTTTTGTTGAATTAATTTTGTTTGGGTATAAAGTTTTATTGCAAGAGAAACTGTAACAACACAGGAGTTTCAAGAACTTGCTAACATTCAGAAACTCAACAGAATTTAAAACAGTTTGAATGGTTGGTACAAGACTTCAGTTTTCATGCCACCTTTATTCCATTTGCTTTAGGTCCCTTTATTTTTTGCTCTAGGTAGCAAGTATTAAGCCTCAATAGTATTGAGTATACTCAATATTGAGTATGTATTATCAATATAAGATACTATATTGAGTATACTCAATGAAGTATCAAACTTCATATCATCATGATTCTTGGATTTTACCAACAACTCTTTGTTAAAACAAGCAAAATAAATTTGGACATTTCTCACCAGTAATTAGGGAAATTATGTCCTAAATTGATACTGTGCATTTAATCAAATTGTTCCAAGCTGACCTCAGATTTCCAGCACCAGTCCCTGCTCAAGAAGGAAGAACGTCAGCCTGTGCCTGATCACCACTATCAACCTCATCCACCAGTACAAGAAAGGTAATTCCATCTTCCTGCTCTTATTTCATAGGTTGTTTGTATTTTGCTGGAGTAACTGACTTGACTAGCTTCTAAAGTCACAAGGAAATGAGTAACAGTTTTTATTTTAAGGTTATTCACATTATTCAAGAACACACCAAGAAAAAAACCCAAGCTATCTAACCTTTCTTTTTTTCCTATATGGTTAATAAACAGTATGGGACACTTCAGAACATATGATTACTGGGAAACAATCACCAATATATAGCAGTGTAACAGTTTGTAAATAACTGTTCAGCTTGTTTTCTGAAAGAAGAGAGAATGCAGTTACAAAACTAAGCTTAATTTAACCTAAATTCAGTTATTTCAAAAACATCTGGAATATGTTACTTAATTAGCAGTATATGAGAGTAGCAACTACAAACTCAAACTTCTCCTTGAGTGATGTATCCAAAGACACACAATTCAACCACTGCATATGCTGCCTATTATTTCACTGTACATGTGGCTTCAGCAAATCCAGAATAGGCTAGCAACAAATGCATGGAGAGATAAAGAAGTTTAATAAAGCATCTTTAAACTCTAACATAAGAACAAACACTAACATCTTTTACCTAACACGACTGGAGTTCTAAATATTTTGTAACATTCACAGTTATCTGTAAAACTTAACTATGGTATACTACATTTTAACTATCATGAAAACTTTCTATCTTTATCAGCACTCGCTCTAAACCAACAGATAAGCTGTAACAGTTTTTTTAAAGCTACAATACACTGGGCAAACATTTGGTCTTAAGTTAAAATATATATATATACACACACACACACCAGAGCATAAGCAGTTGTTTTTAAAAAGTATCATTTGAAAATGCATCAGGAAACATAGAAAAAAATTAATACTTCATAACATAGATCAGAAAAAAGCTATGGTCAAAGACTGCTCAGAACATAGAGGAGGATATAGATATAAAAAAAATAAAATCCAAAATATTCCTCAAGAACCACTGAGGAAGAAAGGGCTGACTAAGTAAAAGCTACCAACCAAGCAATTTAAACTAAACACTTAAGCCATCATGAGCTCCATTGAAAGAGTTTTCCATTCAAAGACTTGAGAAAAGGTAGACTGAAAGCTGGCTAAGTCTTGCACTGTTGTATATGAAAAATGCCCTGTAACCACAAGCCCAGTGCAAAGCAGCAGAAACACTACAAAACTGAACTTTGCCGTAAAGATTCTGAGTTAGAAAAATACTAAGTTTTGTTCCTTTTCTCATTAGCAGTATTTCACAAAACTACACCAGTTTCTGGAGTGCTTCACAATGCCTTTTAAGTTCAAAAGAAAACAATGTTTTAGTAATCAAAAATTATACAAAATATGACCGTTAAAACGGCAAGTAAGCCTTATAACTTCAGTGTATTAGCAGCACACTATTCCAGTTTAATTAGCCAAGACAGCATTACAAATAAACAGATGTATATACATTATACTGAAGAATCATACCTATCTCAAATTAAGCCTCACTATTAATTATTTCATATCAAGTTTATACCAAAAGTCTTAAATTCAAACATTCATTTATTCCCAAAAGCACTTTCAAGAAAAACTGGGACAAGCTTTCCTCATTTAAAGCCAGTTAAAATTAGAATCCCCTACATACAAACACCTGCTATCACACAAATTTGCTTCCTAAGGTTATAGCAAGTAATACACAAGTCAGCAAGACTTTCATAATTTAATGCAGCTTTTACAGAAGGGAAAAAAAAAAAAAAGGCCTAGCTGATGATGCATCATCCCTTCGGATCTTTGCCTTCTGATACAAAGACTTGCAGCAAAAAATGGGATAAAATGCAGACAATATCAGAACAATTCAGTGGTATTTTATTCAAGCCGACTCAGACTTTACTAGAGCTACTGCGATACTCAAATTTTCAAGATCTGTTTACTGTGAGAGCAGATTTATGCAAACTTTATGTTAACAGACCCCAAAAAGAAGGTATATAATGTGAGCTAATTCAGTGACAAATAAGCATTCTGTGAAAAGCAATTTCACATAAACTGACAAATCTGAATAATTTCTGTAGAAACTCTTACCATTAAGGTATTCCAGAGCATGTTATAATATATAATGATATACATCACACAGTACTACAAGTCAACTTCCAGGAAAAAAAAACACACAACAGAAACAAAGTCACTGCACAAGAGTGTTGCTTGAAGCAGCAGGTCCCAGGTGAAATTCAACAACATTAACAGTGCCACACTAAGAAGCAGCTACTATTGCTTCTCTACACTTCGGTCATCCAGAAAGGAAAGGCTGCACTTTGAAGACAATGCCATGGGATCATAAATATAACCTCTTACAGAAGTCCCCGGAAACAAGTGCAATGTATGGTCTTTGAGCCATCTCATGACAGTCATTTTAATGGACTACATATCATTAATACCACTATAAATTAAGCACCATAAACATGAGTAAGAAACAAAATAGCCTTGCAAATAGCAAACTCACTTGTAAGAACATATTAAAAACACACAGACTCTGCAGATCATGACTATATAAATGTGGGAGAAAAGAGGGCTTTTTTTCATTTCTAAAAATACGGAAACAGGGGAAACAATCGGATAATCCTGCCACAGATCCACAAACTATTAGCTTGATTACTTTGCTGAAAGACAAAGGCTAAACTCAGTTTCATTGTTTATTCAATTTAAATTTTTAATATCATATTTCTTCATAAACATTTACAAAATACTAATTAATAATTTTCTCTGTCACCGCTGTTGTAACTCAGAGGTGCTGGCATTTTAGCAACTGTGCAAAAGAGATTAATCTGAAAAATTAGCTTTGTGATCTAACACTATAGATCTATTGCTAGTGTTAAAAGAGGACCAGTCTGCTGCAAAGTGCAAAACAATCTGCTATTACAGGAAAGATGATCAGGAGGTTTACAGGAGTTCCACGTGGCTGACCCTTTTGTGATAAAATATCGGTGGGACTTAGATCTAACCCTGAATTCAGAAAGCAGAGCATATATGCTAACTTATTTTGCTTCCAACAAAGTTTTTTCTATTTGCTATAAGCGATCCAAAACTCTCCGACAGAAAGCAAAAAAAACCTGAAAGGCATGATTTTATACTAGCTCACACATTTTCAGATGAAACAACTAAATCAGTGTCCAAGGTTTTTGAACAGATCACATTTTTCATTCAAATACTATAAGAGGGAAGTACACATCAGCTTTTTCCTCACCACACAACCAGAACTAATGTGGATGTGCCATATATTCCATCTGTGCAGCAGCAACAGGCACAATGCTTCATGAAGTGCAGAGTTTACTACAGATGCACTACACCATTTCCAAGGAGAAAAATACTAATATAATTCATACAACCTGCTCCTACCCACAGACTTTTGTAGAGGTAACTTGTAAGCGGGCTGCAGACCAGAACAACTGCTCTAGCATTGCCACCTTCTTTCCAGGAGCCAGCTTTCCCAAATAGCAAAAAGGGTTTACTTACATGCTTTTTGCATGTGCAAGAGATACATGACCTGTGAAAGACAGCAGTAAGACCATCTGACTCCATTAGAACAGTTTCACCAGTCCACCTCTGGCAGACACAAACACAACAACTGCCTTGCAATCTTTTAATCTTCCTTGTCTTCATTCCCACTCCTTCCTGCATTTTCCTTTGAGAATACTAAATCGCTTATTAATTTGAGTTTCTTATTAGGTCCATTAGCTGTCTACAGCAGGTGATATTTTACTTTGTTAGCCTGACTCCAAAGAGATGTTCTGTTTGTAAACAAGGACCAAACATGTCCTAGTGTAGGTTGGAAACCACTGCAGGGCTCTGCAACACATCTTTAAAATAGTTCAAAGCTTTATTAAAAATGGTGATTTTTTTTTTTTAAAGCATTTGTAATATAATCACATTCCAAGAACATCCTTCCTTTGAAGGCACATGAAAAATAGACAAATCAGTGACCAATTTTTAAAAATTGCTGGTAAAGTTCTAACAGTCCCTAGGCATTTCAGTCTCATATGCGTACTGCTGCATTATCCTGTTGAAGTATGCTGCCAACACACAGAAATGTGGCGGCTAGTCATGCAAGAGCAAAATGAAGTTAACTGGATCAGTCAGTCCTGCTATAGCTACTCAGAACCATTTCTCAGCCATGACACTGCACAAATCACATGAGAGCTCAACAGTCTAGGGAACACGTGAATAACTGCAGTTACCCAGGATAAAACCTTCACCCCATCCCTGTACTTCCAAAGTTGCCTGACAGAAGTGACAGACAAGCCTTTTTTTCCTTCCAGTATTTTCTTCATAGCGAGTAAACAATCCTGGGAACAAAGCAGAAGCACCTCAAATATCACAGGAATTCTCTCCAGTTAGAGCACAAGCCTTCTGAAAACTCTTTCAGTGTGTTCCCTACCTTTTCATCAGGGCATTGCTTCTACACTTTGCCTCTCTTGCTGTTAACCAGGCTTTAACATAGACTTCTTGTTAAAGTTTCATTCCCTATAGAAACAGTAAAACAAAAATTAAACAATGTATGTATTTGTTGAAACTTATACTTACTGCACACTCCACTGCACCAGTCACATTAAATGAACATTGTGAATTGTTGTAGGACTTGCTTGCTAAGATAAGGTTACATGTCACTTAACTATTAAAAAAAAGTATATGAAACAAGATTTTAAACTTAAGAAACAAAATATAAAGTTTTCTGTTGCATTGATATTTTAAGAATGTAAACAACATTTACATTTTGCTTTAAAAAAAACAAACTAAAATCAAAGAACTGTTGAGCCAGCCACTTCAAATTATTTCAACTCTTCCACTGTTTTCTGATGATAAACACCTTCCAGGCCTATTCATAGGTGTTAGCCAGCTATGAAAGTGCTCTTTTAGCTCGATAACCTTTCAAAGTCTACTTCAAAACTTTGTCCCTCTTTGCAAGATTCTGAAATTTAAGCAGATCCTTCTTACTCCACAATCAGCAAGACACATGTACTCTTCCATTTAGCCACCTTATTCCAATTCCCCGTTCTTGCAGCTAGTGTTACAGTCTTCTTGCCATTTACTGTCACAATCCACTATTCTTCTTCAGATATATATGACCACTTTTAAACATTGGTATGACCACAGACAGCTTGAGCTTGTGTTTTACACCGAGGTGCGTACAAGCCAGGCAGCCTGTGCTACATTTAAGCATTTTGAAGCAACAGCTTTCCACCACAGGACTGAGGAGAATACCTCACTGGAGACACCCTCAGACTTCAATCTCCCAGAACGACTCATTAGCATCAGCAAGACTGTAGTCAAAAATAAACTTTGTCTAAACGAGGCTTCTGTTTGCCAAGACTTGGAGAACACTTTTAGAAGATTACCCTGAGAAGACTTCAGAAAACAAAGTGTAACATAAGCAAGGCTGGGAAGAAACATCTCAGGAGGGTTTCTGCAAACCATAAAAGATTTGCTTCCATTCCTGAAGTGGAAAAATTTCGGGAAAAAATTCCACTGGATTATCAGAATTATATTTTGGGGACCACAAAGTTCAAGGTTCTGTTCATAACCCCAATGTACAAGACAACTTACTTCAGATCATGCAGAAGCAATCAGCGCTGTTAGTTCATTACTCCTACAGAAGGAGCGCAGGGGTGACAGCCTAGAGAGTGAATCCAGCCCCTGGTGCAAGTCTTTCTAATCCATACAGCACTATGGACTAGTACCAGTTAACGTCATTTACTCTCCGGTAACTGACTTTGAACATTTTTATACAAGACTAAAGAGAGCATACAGCAGTAACACTACATATTTTTGTCCAATGAGCTGATCTGTAATATAAAGTTTCCAGGAGTGTCAGAAATTGTAATTTTAAGGGATCACCTGCAGATCTCAAGCACAGCTGCAAAAAGTCTACGAAATAAGGAGAATTAACACATGAAGGATTTCCCCATGGACACTTCAAAAACCATCTTTCCTAGTCAACTATCTGGAAAGACAATGAGGAGAGTTAAAGAAAAAAAAAGAAAAATACACATTTATGCATCACAAGAAACACAGCAGAACCGCTGCCAGCATACTTGCAGCTCTATTTTGTAGTATTTCCAGCTTGTAGAACATATTTACAACTATTTTGTTGTCCTCCATCTAGCAAGTAAGAGATCTACTTGTTCAAGAAACAAGGTGCCAAAGACCTACATTACTACCCCAATACAACCAGAGCTTCTCATAGCATTTTTATTTTTTAGTAGGACATTGCCTATACTTTTTCTTCACATTTCCTACTACTACAGTTAAACAAATGACAGCAACAGGGAAAGTTGCTAACAATTAGGGCTAAAGCGATCAATTGCATTACTGTTTAGACCCTATTGCATACACCTGCACTCAATAATGTTAGACAATGCAGTAATTAACAAGAAGTCACTAGCTTCCACTAACCTCCCTTTGGTGCTGCATCAATAGTAGTACTACTGCTAAGAAACATATTGGCATATAAAAAAAAACAAAACAAGAAAAACCCCAACATTGTTCAGCCCCTACATCACTAGACTGGAATTGCTATCAAGTTTTTTGCAGGCACATTCACAATCATCTGTTCCAACTCATGGTTAACATACTCTCATCCAAACAGCAGAGGAGATAAATCAAGAGAGCTCAGAAAACTTGGCAACAAAGGATCTCTAAGAGGTGCCCGGGAAACAGAAAAGTGCTGGATAAGAGTGCAGGGACAGAACACAAGACTGAGTTTGGGAGCAGAAAACGGGAATGCAGGCCAAGAACTGAGGGACAAGCAGATTTGTTCAGCAATGCCTAGGAAGAAAGAAAAATTAGACTTCAATTCAGAGGCTAATCTAGATTCAGTGGGATCACTGCAGTCAGTGAGCAAGAACTAGCCATCTAGAGTATCAAAGCTTAGAGGAGGAAGCAGAATAACTGGCAGAGAGAAGGCAGGAAGGAACAAGCCTCACCCTGAGGGAAAGATCAGGCATTTTCTACATCTTCTATACTTTCCACCATCACTCACCAAGTCTTCCATTTGTTTGTTCTTCATTGCTGTTTTTAGTCTCAATAAAACTATTTACTAAGAGGGTCTAACAAAGCACAGGCTGCTTAGGTGTTCATTACAGCTGTGCCACAACAAAATCCCACGATATTCAACCTTGACTACAAAAAGTCAAGAAAGTGATGTTCAAGTATCCCACAAGACTCATGACAGAGACAAATCTTAACAAGGCCATTTTAAAACTTGTACTTTTCTTTCTAGATTACAGTATTTATGGCCAAAAAGCACAATCAAAGAATGGAAACAATTTCTGAAGTACAATTGTGTTTGTAGGAGGGATGCAGAAAACAATTTATAGCACAGGAGGGGGAGGGAAGCCAAGGTAAGCACTATAAAATGTAAATATTACTTCATCCAAAAACAGTTTAGGAGGGCAGCTAGTCCATGTTTTTTTGTACAACTACTTATTATACAACAACTTTTTAAAAGGAGAAGTCCCCCAAACAGAATATTCCATTTTCCTTGGCACAGTAGATAAAGGCAAATGAAAGTAGCAAGTCTTCCAATATTGAGCTTCAAACCCCAAATCTGTCACTGAAAATGTCAAAATGCATCAACCAAGACTGACAGAAGTGGCCTGCTTTCACCTAGCCATGTTTGGACACACATGCTAACCTCAGTTTAGTTTTGAAGCCATTCTCTACCCTAATTAAAGTTTTGAATTCATGGTGTGGTGGAGGGTAAGACAGGTGCAAGTTGTTTCTAACATTTTTTGCTACATTTAAAAATACACTTTAATTGTGACTTGGAACATTTGACATTCATTTTTTTCTCTAGTCAGCAAAAACGTCCTCTAAGGTAAGAAAACTGAACTCAGCCATGCTGCAAATTATAGACACTGAGTGGATGACATGCATAGACTGCAACTGCAGGGCTGTAACTGCTGTTCGCAGATGATCTACACCACACTGGAAAGGTTTAATGGAGAGATAACACTGACTAATACCTCCCTCATCTAGTAAATCTCTATATCCAGTTAGCAAAAATCTACCCCACAGAAAGTGTGAATGTACTGCTACCAGTTCAGCTACAAATATATCTATCAACTAACACATATTGCTGTAAGTTTCCTAGCTAGGTTAGCTAGCAAAGTAATGTAAAGCAACACTAGGGTATCCCCCGAATAATCACAGTAAATTAGCTGAAGTGCAATGATATGCTACGGTAACTACTGCTTCAGGATTCCAAAGCCAGCTCAAAATACCTCTTTGTAACATAGAGCAGACATATCTTAGAACCCCTTCCTCATCTTTTGGACCAGAATTATTAAATAACCACACCCTTAAAAGAAAAGCTGGAGCATAGTGACTCAGGGAGAGGCACCTTATGTGCTAAATATTATGAGAAAAGCACTCACAGAAGGGTTTGCCCCCGGTGCCCTACATAATGAAGTCTCACTGTCCTGAATAGGAGTTCAGCATACAAGGTAACTACGAAGTTGCACAATTTGTTAGAACACTGCTCCTGTACCGGGATTTAACTGACAGCATTGTGCTGAGCCTGATTACTTTTGCACTTGCAGGATCTGGACAGCATTGCCTCTTTCACTGTAATTTTAGTCAAAATACCATGCAGATAAGCTTGCTTACATATGGAAGCTACCAGAGCTGGACCAGATCCTGATCTTGGTTGTACAACTGAGAATAATTCCTTAAGCCCACAAGTTTCTTCTGAAGCTCAAGACAAAACCAAAACTCAAGAGTGCAGCCCACAATCCCCTTCTCTTTGTTTGCATAACCCTTGCACACAAAAAAAGTGGGGGTTTCCTCTTAGGACTTTCTCATTTGCTTATATGTACATACAACTTATACACCACACTTATTGCTTGTCCACTTTTATTTCAGGTGGCTAAATTGTAATAATTTGATTAATTAGTATTAATTATTTTTTTCTGACCCAAATTTTAAAAAGTCAAATTTTAAAGTGAAAATTAAATAGTGAGGATATAATTGGTTAACTTACTTCTAACACTCCTCCTTACTCTTCGCATCCTATTTTTATAGCATAGTTCCTTCTTCTTTCACTCCCCCCCCATTATTGTTTACTTCAATTTCACTCTATTTCAGCCTCTACAGGAACCCTGTATCTAATACACGAAAATACACTTTGAAAGGGTAAAAATACGCCATTTAAAAGAGTAGGGCCAACACTTTCTGAAGTCTTTTGTTTCCACTTCTCCTCCACAATTTCCTCCTAGTTCTGTTTCTGAGCTCTTTAGGGAACTACCAATGACTATTTCTGCATCATAGACTGCTACTAAAATGACTACTATAGATCAAACCTCTCAGCATTACTGCCTCACACAGCCTTCACTGTATATTTTAATTTTGACTCTGTAGTCTGTGGGGACACTTTATAAGTATACATGCATCAGCAGAGTATTTCCAGATCAGTCATAGGCCAAGCTTCCAGACCAGGCATAGGCTAAGCCTGAACTGAAGGATAGCAGAAAATATCCAAGGCTTATTATGCAATATAGCAAAGAACCTCATTCACTTGAAGTAATTGCTTGGTCACTACCACTGTTAGAAATAGCTGATTTTAAATAGTTGAACAGTGGTGATGCATTCACTGTTTATACATATTCATCTCCTACCTGTTAGCTATCCTCAATTAAAGCAAGGCATAACTGCCTTTAGCTTGCAGAGGACTTGCTGCTTTTAGTATGGCATAAAGTTTCTATCATGATTTGTGCTCGCAGTAGCAAATATTATTTATATACAGAATTGATATATAAGGGAATAGATGCAGGGCCTTTTCTGTGCTCTTGCCTAAGACCACCCAGAGAGGCTACAGCAGAAGGATGAGCGACAAGTACAACTCAGCCCTCTAAACCACACCTCTACCCTTGCTTTTTGTGCAAGCTCAACCTAAACTTTCTTCAAAGGCGCTAAATCTTTACAGGGTTTGGTTTGGGGAAGGTATTGCGAAAGGAGGGGGACAGGCTGGTGTTTTTTTTGGGGGGGGGGGGGGGGGGCACCAAACTCAGTATTAAAAAAAATTTGTAATTTCAATATATCACAGAGAAGCCTGATTTAAATACTTTCTCTTTAACAAACAAGAGAATCATACTGGAAATACACCAATCCACATAAATTGCATCATGTTTTGTTAAGGCACTTAAATAGAAATTATTTTGGTGTCTTTTTTTGGTCCTTTCCCCCTCCTTTTAAGTATTACGGTTCTTTCCAGAAAACTTCACAACAAATACCTTAAATCCACAGCTACAGAGGTATCAAAACCCGAGCTACTGGAACCCTCTGTCAGACAGAAAGATACTTGGAAATCACCAATACCTCAAACATTATGTTTGAACAAGGTTACAAGGTTATATTGACTTTTTTTTTTAATCCAATATAAATTGTGCAACATTTTAGCCTCCAACTTTTTGGTCATGCCAACACCATATTTAAAAACTAAGGTCAAAGTTGAGTAAAGGACAATGAATGGAAAGACGACTTCCTACAAGTCTTCATTCTGGGAGATACTGAAGATTGAGAAAGGTTTTGACTAAGTAGCTATTGTACTATTCCCTTTCCACAACCTGCCGGTGTTTTACCATGAGTGCAACTGTTTCTACAGCCTCTGTTATAAAAAGCATTTCAACCTACCATGACTTGCAAAACTAACTCAAATTCAATTGCTAGGAGGTATGATGGAAATTGAAAAGGGGTGTTAAATATTTAAGTGACGCTGCAAATTTCTTTTGCCAGTTTCAAAACCTCAAGATTAACAAATCGCATTATCATTATTCAGCTTGGTCTAGATATTGTCTTCCTCTATTGAAGAGGCACAAGC